CGCTTTTCTGTACCGAAACTTTCTTCACTGCAAACATATTTCTGTCCTCAGTTGTAATCTCTTATTCACATTTAACTATATACTACTGATTGGTTGAGATGAGTAGTCGTATAACCACTCACATATCCACCAGTAATGTTTGCTGGCCAACCATATCGAGGTGATCTACACACCAGTTGGCCTTTTCACTCATTTCGGGCTCAGCTCATCATTTAGCTGTGTATCTGGTGTTTGATTCAGCTCAGAGGGACAGTCGAATCAGGAATGACCACCAAACCAGTCGTCTCTTGTGAGGGCGATAACTAACTCACCGATGATATTGGGTGATTTCAGTCGCGCTATATATATATATATATATCGCAAATCGGCAGGAGTTGCGATTCCTGGGCCACCAAATTCAACCCTGATGACTGATTAGCTAATCAGCTTTCTGTATAATCCTGGTTTCAACCCTCGATAGTAGAGTAATGGGTGCGTACCGCTGAAGAATTAGTCCAAAATTGGAAGGAGGAAATAACTGTCCAGTACTCTCCGATTTTAGTGGTATTCCAATGGCTCCGTCCAACTGACAAATATCAATAAGAGCTAATGATCAAACAATGAAACCTTGAATTTGTTTTTATTATTCTTTATAGTTGCCTTAATTATTTATTATGAGGGTTACATTATGACTTTGTTTACTCAGTTATAGTTGTTTACACTTAGTTTTATCCAATTTTGTTGACATATCATGGTGTTAGTTTCAACTTTGTTTATTTGACCTTGAACACTGGAAAGCACTTCACAGGCTGTTTATTTTTTATCTGTAGAAATTTCTTCTAAATTCCACTCTCTTCTGCTGAATATAAATAAACAAGTCAAGGCTAACTTTCGTTGGCGGCGTGTTTAAAAGTTGGGCTACCGAAAACCTCCATCAATATATTATACATAATTTCTCTTATTCAATTTTTTTCAAATATATTACATTATGACCTCTAATAGTATTGTTCACTCTTGCGAGTATTTAAAACATTTAAAACGTGTTGTTTTGCAAGTTTCTACAAAACATGAGAAAAAGCATTATCCTCGATGACAGCTTATCCCAATACATGTATGATGACTCTCAGTGGTCGCCTCGTTGCGTGTCTTTAGTCCACCCATCTTTAATTCTTGTTTGGTTTGTCACCGAAAATTCCTGCTGCTTATTTTAACGTCGTCAGCCATCTGATCTTTATTTTCGAGTCAGCGAATGGAAAAAAAATGTTGATACAGTTCTGTAGTAGCCAACTGGAAATGCTTTCCGTGACGCTTGCATTAAGTATATGAACCATATAGAGGCACTAATTGACTTGATACTAGTGCCGAACAAAGTTTGAATCGTGTTCCTTATGCTGAATGTGATAGATTTCCACAGCAATTTCTAACTGGTGGAGGTTTGTCTTGCCTTATCATTCGTACCGCCTATAGTCGTTGGCGGTGGTCAGGTGTCTTCAACACAACTGTTACGTCCATGTTTACTTGAAGTCCAATATTCGCTGTCCATCTCTTCTGTGAACTTGTTGGTTTTCATCTATGGATTTGCAATTTTCTATAGTACTAAACAAAGAATAAGTCCAGATCTTCTCGAATCTTTTTGTCAGTCTAATGCATGCCCGTCTTTTTCCTACCCAGGCGCTGTCTGTTGCATGATTCAGTCTATCACAATCAGAAATACCATGGATGGTAGTAGTCAGACTTGTCTTACATCTTGCTATCTTCCATTTTAAAGGTTAACCTGGGCTCTTTGCCAAGAATCCTTTGTAGATCACTTCATATGTGGACTGCATATTCCGAATTATAGTTATTCGAATATATTCACAAAAGTTACATAATAGACACCCAATAGACGTGAATGCACCAGTGGCTTCGAAATAACTCTCACGTGAGCTAAAAAGCGAATCTCGGTTTGCAAATCTTAGCTTGGACTAAACGGGATGTCACGTTTAATATTGTATATATATATATATATATATATATATATATATATATATTATTATTAATATAACATATATAATATAATATTATATATATATAATATTATATATACATACATCACGGCGGCCTGCTCTATCACTATTATTATTATTATATTATTATTGTATCCTTTAATTCCTAGAGGAACATAGGGCTTCAGCCGTGAGTCTCCATTGCGTTCGGTTCTCTGCTAGAGTCTTCACCTGGCTCCATGTCTGCCCACACGTTTTCATCTCCTCTTCACATGACCTCCTCCAAGTCACCCCTGCACTGACGACCAACTCGCCGCTTTCCTTTCGGGTTCCACTCGAGCAATGACTTGGCGTGTGATGTCACTTGATGGTTTCCTCAGAGTATGGCCAATCCATCTCCATTTCCTCCTGCCTATTTGTTTCACAAGCGGTTCCTGCTGTGTTGGTTCGCTCCCAGAGATCCCACCCTGTTGTTGATCTCCTCTGGCCGGCCATCTGATCTTGAGTATTGAGCGAAGACAACTAACTGTTAATGAAGGTCTGTAGTTTGTTTGAGATGCTCTTTATGACGCGCAGTGCAAGTCTCTGATCCGCATAGTAGTACTGACTTCACATTGGAGTTGAAAATCCGGATCTTATTCTTCATGCTGAGTGCTGTTGACCTCCACACAGACTTGAGAGTAGTGCAAGCTTGTCTTGCTTTTCCGATTCTTGCTTTGATATCCTCGTCAGTTCTGTCTGCCTGTAGTTGAAACGATGCTTCCCAGGTAGGTAAAAGAGGTTGTTTCTTTCAGGTTCCTCCCATTTATGCTGATTGTTGTCAGTTGTTGTTGTTGCGGTTGGTGGTGTTGCCCAGGAATCTTCATCACCTCTGTCTTTTCTATGTTCACCTGAAGGAAGTCCTATCTTTGATGCTTCTTCTGCCAACTTGTTGCTTTTCGCTTACCGTCCAACACACAGTAGTACATCTTATTTTCTCTAATTCCTATTGTTTCACTCATTGAATTAAATCCCTGGGTAGCACAATACACACGCGTACATTTTTGGCATACTTTCAAATTACCAGTGTGCATTTCTCACATGAAACAAAGGAGAGATATCACGAGAGATAAATTTAAACTTCAGATCGGAAAAGCATTGTGACACACATGATATACTACCATACTGTTTTTCCTTGAAAATCCTGGAGGGAGGGAGAAGGTATTATCCACTGAGAATTCTGTGCACTGCGTGTGGACATTTTGTCCATAATAAAGCTGTTTTTATTACAGCTATTTTTATTGTATATTTGAGTGTTTGTGTTATTTAAGCTAGGCGATTGAATACGAAATAACAACCGATCACAACGAAGGTCCTCAGAAGAGAGAGGCAAACAGTCGTATTATTCATGGAGAATTCAAAAGAGATTCATTGTGTAGAAAGAAGACAACAAAAGTTTCGCAATTACAGCATCCCACAGCTGTTTATAGAACACAACCACATTTCCTAAAAAATATTAATCTGCAATGCATATCTTCACCATTCTGTATCTGTATATGCGCATACTGATTGGTCACTTAAACAGTGGTGGTGATGGAAGTGTTAAACAGTGTCGTTTTTTCTAATCCTCAGATCACCAGTTTACGAGACTTCCTACCTTGGTGCATTACTCGAATCAGCGAATGTTCTGGACGGTTTGATCCCACGTGCGTTTATGAATTCGAAATGTTAAGCAGTCAGTCGCAAACTAACTCAGACAAAATGGTTATTCAGTTAGATAATGTTGGTTTTCACTGGTTCTCTCACTGATTCCAATCCAAAATCAAATTCCAGTGTTAGATAGTTGGAGGCGATATGCAATAAACCATAAATCTAGGCTTCGTGCATATTACTGCGAATTCGTCAGTAAAGCACATCTGCAAACTGAAATGAAATGACAATCCTTTGTAGATTAGACTAGACAAATAACACTGATTAGGAAAACGCACATTATTGGTATTGTCAAAAACAGTTGCACTTTAAATAGAATTATATATATATGTATATGGCTTATCCCAAACCTTCATAAACCTCTTTCAGCAGCCTTGTGACGATTGGACGTATGACGTGATCCATAACAGAAATCTCGGCAAAGCTTGCCATTTAAGTGAGGACAGTATGTATACAAAACTGCACACTGTCACCGATGATATTCCTCATAATGGTGGACTGAATTATGCTACAGACTGTGTGTGAGGAGCAAAAATAAAAAGTTCATGAGACCGATAAGGGGACTCTTGAAGATGTGGATGTTACGGACGATTGCAAATATGAGGATGTAAAACCAGTGACAGTCAGAAAGGCGACAGACGCCCTTATTACTCTGATATCAGTTTGAAAATCTTCTCCACTCAGCTGGAGTATAAACAACAAAATTCAGATTTTCAACCTCAATGTTAAGTTCATCCATCAATTCTTCAATGTGCGTTAGGAACTTGGCGTTGGCGTCATGAAAAGCACTTCTAACATATTACCGCAAGCTTCTACAAACATGTGTCTTTGTTGGCTTCATATTGAATATCACATGGCCGGCCAGAAAGAATTAGCAATAAGGAGCTAAGAACCTATCGCTCAATAAATTTACTGAAGAAAATGGAGATGGATGGATATAACACACGCTGAAGAGACCGTCGAATGATATCGCACACTAGGCCATCTCTCGATTGTAACTCAATTGAGAAAATACAAGTATGGCCTCCCAGGGTGATATGGAGGAGATCGTTTTTTGAAGAGGAGATGAGAGATTATGAACGACCGTAGGGGCAACTAAAAGGGACTGCAGGGAACGGGACAAAGTGGAGATGTGCTGTTCAAAGGTCTGTACAGAAGAGTTGTCCAGGACTCCTATCTGCTATTCATCTTCAGGAATCTCCCTAATTAATGCTGCTGGTTAGTGACACGAAATATAACAACTGAAGTATATTGTACCTATAAGCTAACGCTGATCATTGAATGTTTGTCTCAATTTTGAATCAGTTCATTCTTTTATTTTCTTTAATTATTTCTCTTTTTTTCCAGATTTTAGCCTTTTTATTATCAGTATTCAGTTTGCTGTTATTTATTGTTGGTTCTGTGAGCACTTCATGGATATATATTGATTATAAATCGATTGGTCTGTATCAGCAATGTGATGTTCCTTCAGTGATGAAAGCTCCAGAAAGCAATAAACAAACTGGCATAGTATCAGTGAACACATATAATGAAATTCAGAGAATTTGTCAATATCGTGATTTTTTAAATAGTAAGTTTGTTTTCGGAAATAGTTAGTGATTCATGGATTGAATGATCGATGGTGTTGGTCGTTACTGATTCTTTCTGACTGGATCTCTGATCTTCAGTACAGAGCCAGCAAAGGCAGCTATTACAGAAAGTCCATACTCTTTTGGAAATACTATTTATGAAACATCTAATCTCTGAACCATGTAGAAGTGACTTCACATTACTGTTAAAGATTCAAGTATCTTTCTTCACGCTTCTTACTGTTGATTTCCAAGCAGATTCCAGATTAATAAAGGCCTGTCTTGATTTTCAAATCCTGACAGCCGTTGACATGCTCATGTCTGCTGCTTGTAGTTGAAAATATGATGCCTGGCGAGATAATCGAAGGAAATGACTTCCTTCAAATTTCTCCTGTTGTTTATGGCGACTGATGCTCATTGTTGTTCGTATTTGGGTATGTTCACCACTTCTGTCTTGTCTATGCTCACTTGAAGTGCTGTCTTCCTTGAATTCCTCCTCTGATAATTTGTTATTTTTCGTAAATCTTCTAATTTGTGTGGCACCAAACATCAATCGTCTGAGAAGTCCAGACTTTTTAGATTCGTCTTGTCACTTCAACGTTCTTCTGTCTACTAGCTTCCTTTGCACAGCCAGCAGCATGATCTACTCCAACTTTCTGTTGTAAGTCACCTGACATATGACATCATCACATAACTCTATTAAGTGGGATTGATAAAGTTTTGGCCCACTGCGTAGTTTTGAAGCAGTTTCCGAATCACTTTGTGGTTAACGCTTTTGCAATGAAAAAAGTTACAATTTATGGAGTAATTTGGTTCCGTCCCAGTGGCTAAATATGCAACGACCTCACCTTTTAATCTGAAGATCCTGAGTGGTTTGACTTTAAGTGGAAATATAGGTACGTAGTGTTGAAGGGTCAGTTCAGAACTAACATGAAGAGACAGCCAGTTGTCCAGTACTTTGTGATGCTCTAATTAGTTTGCTAGTCTGTGAACTTTTAAAGTTGAAATCAGTCAAATCTCCTATGGAAACGGACATTCAAAAATGTAACTACTAATAATTAGTGTCTATATTATGCAGACTTGATTATTGACAGTTCACTCATTCATTGACTATCGATTATTGAGTATAAGGTATCCAAGTCCCGTCGAACAAACATGTGAAATGTCAGTGAATGCTCCTATGTGCTTCAAAGACATGGATCATGTGCGTCATCAAAATCATTCAATACATACCCCTCTACTTTCTCACTGCTTAAGATCACCTGGCCGGGCAGAAAGCATAACCATGCGAAAAGAAACTCTGGTAGCGGTCAAACCAGCCAGCAGTCTATAAATGCAGAAGGAAATGGAGACGGATGGATGGGTGGATTGGACATACGTGTCGAGGAGACCGGTGAGCGACACCGCGCTCCAGGCAAACCACTGAGTGTAACCTAAATTGGAAGTGACCGACTAGTTACATGTGGGTTCTAGGTTGACATGTGAGGAGATCGTGTAGTGCAGATGAAATGAAAGCTTACAGCTAAAAAAGACAGATCGGTTGACTGAGTGAGTTTCAGCAGAGAACCTTGTACGGAAGTGCAAGAGCACTTTAAGTCGCCATACTTAATGTAGCACACAAAGACAGAGAAACAAGAGAGATTCGAAAGAACGATAATAAGCAGAAATGTAAGGGGCAAAGAATAGTGACACGGAAAAAAAATAATGGTTTAATAGTTATAGGAGATCTCAGAGGTAATATCTGCCTCACTGAGAACAAGAATTTTGAGTCATGTCACCAACAGTCCTCACCCACTGGTTCTTAGAATCCCGATGACCTTAGCCAACCAGTCTGCACATTCCTACGTGGCTGGCTCACATCAACTTTCAGGTTTGGGTTTGTCCACACATAACTCTTTTTCAATCTAATTCGATATCAGCCAACATTCCCTGGTGAGAAAGGAGATAAGTCGGCCTGCGCTAAATTTGTCTTGGCATCTCAACAGATGTCGCTTCACAACTTCGTCAATTGACTTACACTCGTTACCTAACACTCTGCGCCTAACCACCTCAGCATTACTCACTATATTATACCACTTAACACACGGGTGATAGAATGCAAGCATTTTTGGTCAGAAGTAACTTTTCTTTTCACATCCTGCACTATGAATGGTAATGTTTCATTCACAGAGATAGGGGGTTACGGAGCAAACCTCAGCAGATGACGTAAGTTGGCGAATTCCAAATAAATCTTTTTGGTACTTACTCACAGCGGATAACAGAGTAAAATAGCAACTTGCTTTGGGTGAGGCCCTATAAACCCAAGGGAATAATAACAAAAAATCCCTATATATATATGTATTAGAATAGAGCCAGAGATGAGGATCTAATTGAAAAGTGGACATTTCTTTACTCAGTACTTATGTCCGAATGTCATGTTTCGCAATACGTCAAGACGGAAGTACGGACGCTGAGTTAGGCACAGACGTGCTGATCACTAAAACAGCTTGACTACAACGGTTACCTATTTCCGAAGCCCGCACTATTCAAGCGAGTACATATAATAGCATCAGCTGAATAGTATATAATACGTAATTATGTACTATTCAAAAAATCACCAAGGATATGTCAGTTAGTCTGTAATCATGATGAATAAAATAGTGGAGGTTATTCCAAGTTGGTTACTTCTGATTGGTTTACTTCCAAACTGAACATCGACTAACGTATCACCAAATAGGGATTTTGTCTATCATAACAACAATATTTAAATATGTTCTTTTTGTGAATAATATTTTAAATTTGCATATATTTTCTCCTTCTCCTTCTGAAACACTTTTATTACTTTTTTTCTATAGTTGAAACTATAGGTTGTATCCTGCTTGATTTAACCGCGTTGCTATTCAATCTCCTTGGATGTTCTTTACTGCTTAGCGGTATATTCTCGCTGAATCTAAAACATAAACGTATCTTTTATTACACATCAGTTATTTTGAATACAATTGCGTGTAAGTTTGTACGCCCCCCCCCCAACACAGCCGTTTTTTGTGTTGTTTTTCCTAAATGACTTTGGTAAGCATAAAATACATTTTAGCTGTTTGTTCTCGTCACGAATCAGAATCAGTTAGACATCATCGAGTATCAGAATGTCAAATTCCAGTTAATTTATGACTAGTGGATGGTTGTCTTGGTTATCTGGTACTGACTTGAAGTTGTTGCCAGTGAGATCCTCCATGTCACGGCTTATCTAGAGGTTCATTGATGTCACTTTTGGCGGCGGGAGCGATATACATATCCCAAGACAACCGATGGTATGTACTTCGTGGATGATATATGTCTAATGTTACACAAACTCGAAGACACACAAGTGAAAACAGCAAACTGGCAGAAGAAGCAGCAAACACAGGGTTTCAAGTAAACACAAAAAAGACTGAGGTGATGAAGGTAACCAACCAACAATCTATCAGCAACGAGCACCAGTCACCATCAACGGAGAAATTTGGAAGAGGTCACTTCTTCCACTAATCTAGCTAGGAAGCATAGTTCCAACTACAAGTGGCAAAATGGATGAGGATGTCAAAACAGGCCAGAATCAGAAAGGCAAGGTACACCTTCATCAATCCGGAATCAGTTTGGAAGTTCGCTTCACTGGAATCAGAATGAAGAACGAAATTCCGATTCAGCTCAACACCAATGTCAAGTCAGTCTCTTAATTATTCTGTGTGGGTCTGAAATTGACCAACGCGTCATGAAAAGCATTTCCGGCAGGGTGCTGCCAACTTCTATCAATAGCTGCCTTCGCTGGCTTCAAACTGAATATCAGGTGGCAAAAAAGGAACTCTGGGAACGAACCAATCAAGAATCTATTACTCAACAAACATTCCGAATAAAATGGAGATGGATGGATTGGACACACACTGAGACCGTTGGGCGACACTACACACTACTCAAGTATAACCCAGATGGTAAAAGACGAACCATGCTTGTGTCGGACTCTGACATGCAGGAGATCGTTGGGTGAGGGGGAGATGAGAGAATATGGGTAATCGTTGGGGCAGCTAAAGGGGTCTGTAGAGAATGGGCAATTGTGCAGATCTTTTATTGAAGCTGTATGTTCCATTTGGAACCCAAGTGAACAATAATAAGCAATAATAATAATAATCCCAAATTAACAAAGGTCGGACAAAATTCATTGGTCATGAAATTCCGACCTAAGTGTGGCTGAATGGTCAAAAAGCTTGACCTTATACAGTTGTACTTCCTCTTGGCCTTTATGCGAGATAGGTGTTGCGTCACTTCAATTTCACGTGTTCTTGGCGTGTGTTGTTTCTATGATCATAGATTGATTGATTAGCCTTTCTGTCTTTTTCCACCTAACTATTACTATTACTTCTTAATACTTTACCCTATCCCACTCCCCCTGCACTGTATGATTACATACAAGTAAATCCAACTCAAGGGTTGATCTGCTTACATTTTTATTTACCGGTAACCTAACTGATCGTTATCCACTAGTTCTACATATGTAATTGACCTCGTCCACTGTTATCTAAAGTCAACAAAATTTACACCTCAGTGAACTGTCACCCTAATTCCAAAGCAATAAAAGTGTATTGAAATATCATATAAAGTATACTGTGATACAATTATGAATGGTAGAAAAAAGTTGTACCCACCCAGTGACCGATACTGCATCGTTAGACATTCCATGATAGACATTCCCTTGCATTTCGAGTGGAAAATAGGCCTTCAACCAGAGTTTTTATTGCTAATTCTCTCTGGCTGGCCATCTCATCTTCAGTATGGAGCCAACGAAGGCAGCTGTTGATAAAATCTGTGGTAATCTGTTGGAATTGCTTTATGTGACCCGCAGGTCAAGTTTCTGACCCATATAAAAGAACTGAATGACTTAACATTGTTGTCGAGAATCCGAATCTTGTTCTTTATGCTGAGGTGGAGCGAAGAATATTTCCAAACTGATTTTAGAGTGATGAAGGTCTGCCTCACCTTTCCAATTCTGGTTTCCACATTCTCATCCGCCTATCTATTGGAACGATGGGTGAAGGAAGTGACCTCTGTCATATCTATTGCGTTGATAGTGATTGGTACTTACTGTTGTTGTTTGGTTAGTTATCTTCATCACCTCTATATCTTCTCTATGTCCACTTGAAATTCTTTCTTTGCTGATTCTTCGGATTGATTACAGAATATTATTTATTGGATAGTGAGTAACGTTTTAGAATTCAGAAGATGCACACTTCGTCCTTTTCGGCACTCGTCAGTCAGCTGGATATACCTGCATTCCCCAGTGAGTGGAGATGGTATTCCCACCGAAACTCGGACCCCGTCATAATCTATTGTTTCCAGAACCAAGGCGTTGTCCACAAAACCACTTAGGCGACTACAACAGCCACTTCTTGTTCAATGGACATCAGCTATTTTTTTTTCATTTCATTTTGATTTTTCTGTTGACTGACTTGGTCAAAATATTGGGTGCCTCTGTTGACTTGTTGGAACATCCTAGTACGGACGATCTGTAGATGTCTGAGGATTAACTTGAAGTAGTTTGGTGGGTGGTTATCAGCAACGGAATCCAAATGATTCTTCTAGTCCGTTCAATTTGGGCCTCATCAGCTTAACTGCCTCAATTTAATCTTCAAATACCACCAAAGCTTCCGCAGTGCTAGGAGGTTCCAAAATGTTAACAGGAGTACCAAACATTTCAGTCCAATAAATCAACGGGAAAATCAAAAGTGAATTCAAAAACAACAACTAATAATGATTTAAGCTAAGAGACAGGTAGGCAGAAAAATTGTGACAATAAAAGTCACATAGTGGTGAGAGATAAATGAAAATTTCTTTCTGTATACAAGCAGGAGTTATTTTTAAGTTGTTCGCTAACAATGGCTTCTACAGAATGAAGTAATCAAGGTTTCCTTTCTGCATATTGACTGTTTTGACATCTTGACTGGTTTCAATTCTATATTTAGTATCAATCAGCTGCTTATCGATTGCCTTTGAAAATACTTTCCTACTTTTCATCTATGAGACCCATAAGGTATATACTCAGAAAATCTAGTTGACTATCTTAGAGTAGTCGAAGAATTTCTGTGAACTAAAATGAATCCCTAGTTTTCACTGATGTCTAACTGATAATGTTAGTTCCTGACGAATTCCAACAATTGGAACTGATGATATCAAAGTTCTACAACAAAAACGCATCATCGAAATATCAGTCTCCAGCTCACTGACTGGGTGGATGTCCTAAAGGTGTACTGAGTAAGAAGTCATAACCAGTGGGCTCCATCATATCAAAAGTAGTGAGAATGTGCTCATCGAAGGCATGATCAATAGCCGTAGAGTTATATTACGCGAACTGACAGAAGTTAGAATTCACAGATCATAGAATTCTGACCCAAGTATGGTGCAATGATGAATGAGTTTGATCTTTTAAACCGAAGGTCGTCTGTGATTCTCTCTCTGTTGGGGTTATCTGTATGTCATAGGAGACGATAAGACCTGCTAAGGGACATTTATTGAAAACAAAACGACATCATATTTATCTATTCTAAGCCACATTAAAGTTCCGAACATGTCAAACAAAAAATGGACTGTTCTGATTGGCTGGCGACAAGTTGTCCAATGAGATTATTTCAAGTCTACAACGTAAAATAATTCCAGGTTTGAGGAATAAACACTTCTACCGCTGCAGCCATTGGCTTAAAATGTTGATTTCAGTTTCTGTTCGCTTTTTATCAATCTGCTTGGCCCTACACGTATGCACTGCTAAAGAATTTGAAACTAAAAGGAAACAGCTGTCCAGTGGGCCCTGACTGACGGAGTTTCAACATAGAACTAATATGCACATGAATGCAGCAGTACTTCAAGTCGCTACACTCTCCAAGAAGCAAAAAAAGGCAGTAAGTGAGACTGAAAAGAAATATTATGAGCAGAAATGTGGGAGAGAAAGAACAGTAAAGTGTAGATCACGAAGACTGGATATATCTCAGCCACTGAGGATGGTCTTAAGTCATATTGTCAATAGTTTTAAGATAACCAAGTTCCGAACCAGATATTCTAGTTATCCTTATGTGACTGGCTCAAACTAACTACTGTTAGTGACTCCAATTTTTAATACGGTCACTCTTTTCCAACCCAGACACATGTCAGCTAACATTACTGATCACGGAAGACGATGGCTCGGTATAAGCAACTTATATGTCGTAGCCTTTTCAATCGACACACAACTTCCTAATCTAATCAACTTACCTTACCTTATTACCTAACACTCTACATCCACACTCAATATTGCTTACCATCGATAAACACCTTCGGTCAAAGAGAGTTCGCCTAGTCATATCTTCCACTTTCATTGACTATATCTTGTTTACAGCCACACAGTGAGCTACCGCTGTGCAGCACAGGCATCATTTAGATCGACAGAGGTGATGTGAGGTGTTTACAAATGCCACACGTGCTTTTTGTTGTCTCTGTGCTGAGATTTCCCCAGTAATCGACCAGTCAGTCAGCTCATAAGGGGTGATGCAAATTCCTAAATAAGTGAAAGAGCTGAGTGATCAATACACTCCACCACTTCACTTCTGTCTCCTGTCTTTCAACTAGGAGTAGGTTTAGAACAGTCCTGTAGCAGCAGCCTCTTACGTTTGACAGGGGGAGTCTGATGCCGAAGACATACTGAAGATTTCTGCTCAAAATGCTCAAATGACTCTACATTTTGTCCTCGAATTCACCTAGGAGGACTCTATAAGGCTATTCCCTAAGTCACTGAAGTTAGTCAGTGTAAATTCTCTCCCCAAACCTTATTACATCTATGATGAAATTAAACAAAAGTGGGGCACAGTAGCCACTATAGACAATAATGATTGTTGTCATTATTTCAGATGATAACAACTTTTCATGGACTGTTTCGTACACGTCCACGTGAGTTCGAGTGGAGTGCCGTAATACTCCGTGGTTTCCATCTACCTCTCTAATTGACGCAGTTAGTTCGTGATGAAACACCTGCTTTGATATATATACTTATTCATCCTTACTGCTTTCTAGACACCAGTAGATACCACGTTTCATTAAAACAGTGTATTAACGTTATTCTTTTTTCAAAAGACGCCTTTATCCAGTTTACCTAGATGTACGTTTTCACGTTTTTTTAGCCAGAAAAACATGACTAGTAACGACAGATGTTTTCTGTGAATTTGTTTTGGAAATAGTCATTATAAAAGGTAATTAAGTATTCAAATGCTTTTTTATCTTCTGAATACATGTGTGCAAAAAACGAAATAGGGAAAGATCACAATTGAAACACAGCTATTTTTTAAGGTGATTCACGAGACTTATAAGACACTGGATAAAGGCGTCTATTCAAAAAAGAAAAATGTTAATACACTGTTTTAATGAAACCTGGTATCTACTGGTATCTAAAAAGCAGTAAAGATGAATAGGTATAAATATGAACCAATCTGTGAAAAGCACATATTCAGCCAATCAGATTTCAATAGTGTTGTCCAATCACCAGTCGGAGAGAAGTTGTCAGTCTATAAAGTCAGTAAATTCGTTTTTTAAAGAAAGAAATACTAACCTTTGGTCACATCTAGGCAACGAATGGATCCTTGATACATTCAAAAGGGACTGTAAATACAATTAAATATGCTTCACAACTTCCCACGTGTGTTTACTTTGAATAGGAAATAAAAATGTCTTGGTCAAAAATTAGGACACATTATATTCGATTAGCCAGTTAGGTAGGTTTCATCACTTATCGACGTCAGATAGGAAAAATGATTGAAAGGTAAGAAGGGTTGTGAACAGTAACCTACTGTATAGTTGTGAATAGCTTTGAAATATATATCTCGAACTTCCAGTCAGATGCTCTGACTGGTGGAATTAACAGATTCGCTTGTGATCCGAATGAAAAAGAGGGGGCTTCAACGGCCTATTCCCATTCCTCCCAGTTCTCTACAGTCTTTTCTTAAGCTGGCTTTTTTCGGTTGCTTTCGACGTTACACCTCCTCCTCTTCCCATGATCTCCTACTAGTCAACCTCGGATCAACGCACGACTCGTCGCATACTTTTCATTCATGTTCCATTCGACATTCTTTCTGCAGTGTGGTCTAACGCAAGCGACTAGTCTCTGAATTTTATCCAAGCATTAACCGACTTGAAATCAGCTTTGGAAATCCGTATGTTGTTTCTTATGCTCAGTACAGTAGATTTCCAGAGTGAGTTCAGAATAATGAAGGTTTGTGTTACTTCTCCAATCCTTGACTAGCTTTGACATCGTCATTCGTGTTACCACCTGTAGTTGAAACGATACTACCTGTCCGGGAAAGTGAAAGCGGCAACTTGCTTTGGATTTCTGCTACTGATGCTGAGTCATGGCCGCTCATTTTTATTGATCGTTGCTAATCTTCATAACCTCAGTATTCGCTATGCGTACATGAAATTCTGTCTTCCCTGCTTCTTCTACCATCATTTTTGCTTTTTTTGCGTCTGTGGATCCTCAAGTGTATTGTGTTACATTAGGCATAAATTATCCACTGAGTTCACATCTTACAGTTTCATTTTGGTCGGTCCAGTGGATACCCATCTTCTCGCTCATCACTGTCTGTCGGATGATTCAGTTCACGACCACAGTGTACAATATCGTCAGCGACAGTAAACAGTCAGTTGGTGAAAGTTATGGTCATAAAATTGAGTGTACTGACCAGTCAAGGTAGATTTCGTAGAATCCTCTTTCCTATTCATAAGGATGTCGCCGATCACCAAAAGCTAGGGCTGGGTTTGATTACCACGCTGACGCACTCCTGAAACTCGCCAGGTCAGTCGTAAACCAGCAGAAAAAAGGGAAGGTCGGGTATGAGTTCTTCAACACCACCCCCGAAACAAAACTAAGACCTTCACCGCTAAACTTTCCTTGTTTGACTCTTGAAGACCCATGTTCCCCCACAGGGAACGCAAACAATGAAAAAACATGACGAAGTTCAACTTTAGACACATTCTACAGTGACTCAGTTTACTAGCCATATTTCAAGTGATTCACAACGGATAATTCAGTGAAACCTGTCTTTGAAATGAAAACAGGAGTGTTACTATTATCACCCAAGATGACATCTCTGTTTGTGGTGGTGAACTGGACAATGCAACAGACCGTGAGTGGGGAGCAAGACGACAGGGTGAAAGACCTGGACTTTGTGGGTTGTGTATGTCTATTGTCATACAAAGTCGAAGATCTACAGGTGACAGTCAACCAGTATGCAGATGAGATGGGCAACAAGGATAGGACTTCAAACGAACATAGAGAAGACGGAGATGAGGATGCGCATATAAGGATGTCAAAATTAGCCAGTGAGGATCGGGAAAGCAAGACAGACCTCCATTATTCTGAAACTAGTGTGGAAACCTGCTACCCTCATTCAGAATAAGGAGCCAGTCAGTGCTTCCATCATATGGTTTACAGACTTGGCTAGCGAGTTGCGACAAGCATTTGCAGCATGTTACAACTCACTTCGCTAGCTGGATACTGAAGATCAGATGACTGGCTAGCCATGAGGAAGGGATAATTTACAAAGAACTCTGATAGACAGCGAACCAACCAAGGATTTATTGCCCACCAAACAAATATGCCGGGAAAAATGGAGATGAGTGGATCAGACATTCTGATGAGCAGACCGTTTAGTGACATTGTACACCAGACAGAGACTGAAAGCTTACAGAGAACCTTGGAGCCAGCTAAACAAAATACTGAAGATAACCATGGGAAATGGAGATATGCTGTTCCACATGGAACTCCAGAGAATGACAATGGTATTGACGTTTGAATGTTTTATCTCTTTTCCGCTTTCATTTATCTGTTTTATTTCTACCCTAATTCACACATAGGTATTACAATGCTACTGGGAGTCATTTTGTTGGCAATTACAAGCACTGAGGACAACAATCGTGATGACAAAAAGCTGATGTCTGATGGGAGAGGTAATACCAGTACTAACACTAACCAATCAATAGTCACTGTCGGTTGGTCTCTAATTATTGTTTGCTGTGGTATCGTTATTCTTGGTATTGCCGTCTGTTTAGTTCTTTACGATAGAGGTGGTGAAGAGATTGAATATCGCGAGACAATACATAGGTCATCAAATTATATTGAAGAAGATGCATAGAAAAATCAAAAACACATGATAGACAAATAAGCAAACACATACAATTACACACAACAGATACACATTAACGCGATGGGGATGAGACTGAATGACTGTTTGTTTGTTTGTCTGTATGTGTATATGATTCTGATTAGAAGAAAAGAAGAAGGGGAAAAATGCTAATACTGCAATTACAAATGTGCAATATACATCTACCAATCAGATTTTAGCAATTACATACATAAATGATGGCAAGCTAGACAGACAGACTGTATCTTCTTTTTCAACCAATCACATAATAGCTTTTTGTTTAAAATCGATTGCCTGATTGATTGGTGGTGGTTTTTTAGAAATATTCATGTTTTCGCCTACTTCCTGTTTTTTTTTGTTGCCCTCAAAATACACTGCAGGTACCCCTCTTGAAGACAATTACACACACGCCAAATTTGATTTATAAATCAATATTATTACTATTATCTTTATCATTGTTATTGAAGAAATAATATGCGTATTCAGATTTCTTTTACTTTTCTAGACACTCAAGTTGGGCATAATTTGGCATGGTGTACAGAGACTAAAAAATGTTGATGGATACGCAAGGTACACTATATATAATGTCAAGTGCTTATCCAATAATTTCCAGAAGTACTTGTGCTACTTAGACCATAGAGGCAAATAAAAAAAACTCATCATCAGGAAAAGCAGATACATTTCAGGATCAGAAACGCCCATCTTTATTCACTTTAGTTACATTGATGGTCGAAATGAACCGTAATTTCAGGATATTGAGTATGAGATTATTATAATATTATTATTTTCTTTGCTTTCTGAGTGGAACATAGGGCTTCAACAACACATCTCCACTTTGTTCTGTTTTCTGTCGTCCTCTTCATTTGGGTCCACGATTGACCAAACTGTCTGGTCCTTTCTTCACACGATCTCCCCCATGTCACCCTAGGACGACCCATTCGTCACTTTCCAACGGGATTCCACTCGAGGGTATGGCGTGCGATATCATTCGGCGGCCTCCTCAATGTTTGTCCTATCAATCCATCTCCACTTTCTCCTACATATTTGTTGAGCGATCGGCTCTTGGTTGGTTTGTTCTCAGAGTTGCTTGTTGCTTTCTGGCCATTTGATCTTCAGTATGGAGCGAAAGAAGCTGTTGATGAAAGTATGCAACCTGCTGGAAATCCTTTTCGTGACACTCAGTGCACGTTTATGACCTGTATAGAAGGACCCATTTGACATTGGTGTTAAAAATGCTAATCTTGTTCCTTATGGTGGGTGAGTGCAGAAGATTTCCAAACTGGTTTCAGGTTAATGAAGGCGTATCTTGCATTTCCGATTCTGACTGGATTTGACATCTTCATCCGTTCCGCTGCCTGTAGTGGAAACGATGCTTCCTGGATGGATAAGTGAAGGAGGTAACCTCCGTTAAATCTCTGCCTTTGGTGGTGATTGGTGCTGGTTGTTGCTGATGGTGGTCGGTTATCTTCATCACGTCCGTCTTCTCTGTGTACACCTGCAGTCCTGTTTTCGCTGCCTCTTCAGCCAGTTTGTTGGTTTTCGTTTGCAAGTCTTCGAGTTTGTTTGACATTAAACACATATTATCTGCGGATTTCAGACCTTCCAGAGTCTTCTTATCAGTCGTCCAGTGTATTCCTGACTACTCATCCCCAACAGTCTGACGCATAATCCAGTCCACCACAATTAAGAATATCATCGGTGTTAACAGGCAGCATTGTCTTACTCCTGTATGCACTTTGAACGCCTCGCTGAGTTTTCAGTTGTGGATCACCTGACACATGGCATTGTCATATAGCTTCTGAATGAGGTCGACAAAGACTTAAGGAGTATGAGATTAGACTCTGCTAAATGTAAGTGCGACGGTGGTATAGCGTTAGGACGCTCGCCGACCATGCACATGGTTCGAAGTTCAATCTCCGGCCGACGCACTCCTTTACCTCACTAAGCCACAAGTATTGCTGGTGAAGAGGAAAGGTTGGGCATGAGGCTAGCAACCTCATCCTGTAAAATAAACACTGCTACAGAAACTTCAAGCCACTAGCTTGAAGCCCTGTGTTCCACTGGGGAACGTGAAGGATAAAAAAATTTTAAGTAAGCTGATCCTCCAGGACTTATTGACAAAGAATCCTAATTTTAAGATAGGCAGTGAAATGGCTGAATATACTGACAACTGCACTTTACTTAACTAGCAAATTGAATAAAACCTGGTGGATTCACTATGGTTCCTGATGAAATAATTGTATCGATACAAAAAGACTTGTGTGACACTTGACAACAACTAACGTCTATTTTTTAGATGTCATTAATATATTTGAATGGATCAAAGGACGTCTGAACCGCACAGCACTTGCTCTATCCATTTTTACCTGCGTAAGACACAGTCATTGGAAGAGGGAGGTAAAGAGAGGCTGACTGGCTGTATTTGACCACACATATGTATATCTGAGTCCTGTCTGTCGTGTGTGTTGAGTGGAATAATGTGGTGAGTTCAGATTAGACGGACAGCGGAGTTAGGTACAGAGGAGAAGTGTATAGTTTGGAGTGATTGAGGTGATGAGTAGTTGTATACTGCTCACATCAAACAGAGGCGCTTCACAACCAGATCGGAGTATTGTAAACTCCGGAGAGCTGTTTCTCTTGCTCGCTCGCTCTGTCGTGTGTGGCCGATGTGAGTGGTAGACAACTATTCATCTCAGTCGATCAGTAGGACATGGTTTCATGCTTGGTTTCCTGATAACCACTTTTCGTATAAGCGAGGCAGGTCACAACTTATCAACTGACGGATAATCTCTGTTTTCTTCAAAGGAATCTGTGATTACTTCACCACAGATTACATGAAACCGTGTCCTACTGATCAACTGCGATGAATAGTTGTCTACCACTCACATCGGCCACACACGACAGACACAACTCAGATATACATATGTGTGGTCAAATACAGCCAGTCAGCCTCTCTTTACCTCCCTCTTCCAATGACTGTGTCTTACGCAGGTAAAAATGGACAGATCAAGTGCTGTGCGGTTCAGACATCCTTTGATCCATTGCCGTATATCAATCACACAGACTGATTGGTTCCAACATAGAACTTTGCAATGATCTGCAACAGTGCGAGTCGCACCACTCCATGTAGCGCATAAAGAAAGAGATGAAAGTAGCAGAAATGCAAAACAGAGACAGTAAACAAAGGTATGAGGCAAAAAGAATAGTAATATAGTAGAACAATATAGGTTTGTTGGAAATTTTAAGTCACAAGGAGTGGATGCATATGCACTACTCCTATCACCGATCGTCTCCAGCCACCATTGGTTCTTCTCATCCCGAGGACCCCAACCAGGAAGTCTACACCTTCCTACGCTTCTTAAACTAACTGTTGCGGATTTCATTGACTGGTGCCATGTTTTGATTTGACCACCGCGGGTTCTTTTCCAACCTGACCTTATGCCAGCTAACATTGCCCGTCGAGGAAGGCGATGGATAGACATGCGTAACACATGCCCTAACCATCTCAGTGAATGTAGATTCACAGCCTCGTCGATCGGTTTCCCCTCCTCACCTAGCACTCGACGCCTAACCTCAATATTGCTCACCCTATTTTACCACTTCACACGGGAGATAGAACGCAGGCACCTATGATCAAAGTTAGCTAGCCGGGCTTTTCATGTCTTGCACTCTCAATGACCAGGTGTCACAGCCATAAAGGAGTTCGGAGTGGACTGCTGAGCAGTGCACAAGTCCTTTGGTCGATAGCCAGCCGGATATCATATCTACGCCAGAGATGGTGTAAACTGGTATATGCGAAACTAGCCTTCTGTACAGGTGCTGAGATTTCGTTAGCGATCAACCCGTTGGCGTTGGCTGATGCAACTTCCCAAATAAGTGAAGTGGCCAACACGCTCTTCCACTTCACTCCGTGTTACTTAAGCTAGAAGTCAATGTAGTCCAGTCCAGTCCTCCAAAACCTCAGGATGGTCGGGGGTGGGTGCCTTGCGCTGCGGGTTGGCCACCCCTCCACACACCTCTTGAAATGCTCACATGTGACCGGGCGTCTTACATAGCCTCTCCTGAGGAAGTCCTACTCACTGCCTTCACGTGGCGGAGGTGTTTTTCACCAAAGTGAGAGGGCGAAAGCGGATGCCCGGCGCTCTTCACCGGGTTGACTGTCCATTGGATGACAGTCTAGGGGAGATGGCTAAACCCTGATTCCAAACCTCCAACGACTGGCATATGAAGCTCACTGGAGCTCACCGGCAGACGTATGGACAAAGGGCTGGTTGGATGTCCTGGATGTCTGGCCCCATTCAAAAAGGCGTATGAACCGAACTCCGATCACCGGCTGCCAATGGATAGTGGACTCCCTACTCCACTCCTACTGCCTTGTAGGTCACACTTGGTTGTGTAAAGGCTAGAGCTGCACTCTCAAACAAAAGGCCGAGCGATTCTGGGGACTTCCCTCGCACCAAATTCCCATGAAACTTCATGAACTCTCTTACAAACGACTCTCACCATGCTACGGCGTTCCCGGTAAGCGATGCGCCCTGTGCTCACCCGGTGGCCAGTGTGAAAAGTAAGCCAGCTGGGAAATTAACACTTAGAAACCAACTATTTGTTGGCTGCTGGAATGTTAATATGCTGTTGGATCCTCGTAGCCACTCTATCACCATGCGTTCTTTATACGACTACAAGGTGGACATAGCGTGTCTATCTGAAGTGAAGTTACCCGATCACGGCTCCCGCCGAATAGCCGTACCTGGAACAGATTCTTCATTCTGGTTGCTTCATAGTGGACCTCAGAATAATTCGGGACAACATGGGGTAGCATTTGCTCTCAGTAACAAAACCAATAATGCCCTAATATCGTTCGAACCGGTGAACTCCAGAGTTGCAATCGCTAGGTTCAAGGGTTCCCCGCTCGACATTCCTGTTCTCGCTGTCTATGCCCCAACCCTCAACTCTGATGAAAGTATCAAAGACAAATTCTATGACAATCTTCAAGAGGCAATCAACAAAATCTCAAAGCGTGACGTTCTCATAGTAGCCGGCGATTGGAACGCCCGCACTGCCCCTTCAGACGACGCGACAAAACATATACTAGGCAAACACGGTCTCGATCAGCGCTGCCGTAATGGTGATAGACTTTTAGCTTTTTCTGACTACAATCGATTATATATCACCAACACTCGATTTAAACACCCTAGAAAACATCTTCTCACCTGGTATTCGAACGACGGTCACACTGCACATCAGATTGACTACATCCTAGTGCACTCACGCTGGATCTCCTCGGTGGAGGAATGGCGATCCTATCTTGGCGCCGGAAATAAAGGGGGATCAGACCATACTCTAATTAGGGGGAAATTCAAACTTCGTTTAACAACACGCCAGAAGGCGCGACCTCCGAAGCGTATCAATGTTGCCCGGCTTCAATGTTCGACAAAGCGACAAGCCTTGTCCAAACAAATCCAGGCCGAACTAAGCGCCGCAGATGAGCCAACATCCACATCTTCTAATACACCTGAGACACGATGGAATCATTTCAAAGAAGTAGTCTCTAAAGCTTCAATGTCGCATTTGGGTACCACATCCAACAAGCAGAAAGACTGGATTTCAGAGCACACTATGCATCTATCCTCGCAAGCCAGAGACGCTCACCTAGCAAAGTCTCCAGTTTATCGCTCCCTCAGGCGCAAAGCTACACAGTCTGCTAGGAATGACAGAAATCGCTATTGGTCTAATGTGGCGACTAACATGGAAGGAGCATCAAATGTAGGCGATTTCGGAAAACTTTATCGCCTAATACGCCTATCATCTGGCAAACGCCTTAACAGCCATCCTGTGTTACGCACAGCATCAAGAGAAATTATTTCGGACACCAATGGTAAGATGGAACGATGGGCCGAACATTTCAAGCAGCTACTCAATCGCAACGCTGGTTAACCGTCTCATCGACCGATGCGACACTTACCAACACCCTACGTAGTTGACTGCGATTCACCCACTCCAACCGAAATAGCTAAAACAATTAACAGACTCAGAAACAAAAAAGCTCCGGGCGAAGATGGTCTACCTCCAGAAATATACAAGGCCTGCACTCCAGCGCTAATCGATTCGCTGCACTCGCTGTTCCGCTCAATTTGGGATTCCGAAACCATTCCTTCCGATTGGAGCACCTCAGTTCTGCTACTGTTCCACAAAAAGGGAGACAGGTCACTATGCGAGAACTACCGAGGCATAAGTCTGATTGATATCGCCGCTAAGGTTTTTGTTTCCATTCTCCTGAACCGCTTCGCTGCCGAACGCCACGTGCGAACAAGGCCAAATCAAGCCGGATTTCGACCTGGAAGAGGCTGTGTTGATCAATTATTCACACTGCGAAGAATTTTAGAACACAGGGACAAATTCCAGCAGCCAACGGTTGCTTCTTTCATCGACTTCCGAGCGGCATTCGACTCAGTTGATCGAGGAACACTCTGGTATCTAATGGAGCTCGACGGAGTTCCGACCAAGCTAATCAACCTGCTCAGGTCATACTACTCCAACACCAAAGCTCGAGTCCGAGTGAACGGTGAAGAGTCTCGCACTTTTGAGGTAACCAGCGGTGTCCGGCAAGGTTGTCCAGCATCCCCCATCCTGTTCAATTTCACAATTGATTGGATTTTGCGGCACGCCCTAACCGAGCACCACGGTGTCCAACTTTCGCCCGATATTCACATAACCGACCTCGAATTCGCCGACGACGTCGTGTTATTAGCTGAAAACTTCCCCGATATGCAACAGGCACTCGATCAGATAAACCACCTCGCGTCTACTATCGGTTTGGAAATTAACACTTCCAAAACCAAAATGTTTTCGAACACATCCACCAGCAATGATGAAATCTTATACCTGAATGGAGCACCTATTGAAATTGTACCATCCTTCAGATATCTGGGATCCATAATGCCTCCCAACGGTCAAGCGAAAAACGAAGTGAATGCACGGATCTCCAACGCCCGGAATGCGTTTCTACAGCTGAGGAGCGTTCTATGGAGCAAGAGGGAAATCAGTCTCAGGACTAAAATTCAGGTCTACCAAGCCTCCATACGATCCGTTCTCCTATATGGCTGTGAAACCTGGCCTCTTCGCGCCGAAGATGTACGCAGACTCGAGGGAGTAGACCATTGGTGCCTCAGGTGCATTTTGCATGTTCGTTGGCAGGACAAACTCTCCAACGAAGAAGTGCGTCGTCGTTGCTACAAAATCAACCAAACTCCAGTACTGGCCTAACAACGTCGCCTTCGGTGGTTTGGCCATGTTCTGCGCCGACCAGATGACGATCTGGTCAAATCAGTTCTAAATCCCTCGCCATTACCGTCTTGGCGATGCCGCAGGGGTGGACAGCTGAAAACATGGCTTGGTACAGTCAAGGCTGATATGGAGTGCCTGGGGCTACAAACCGTCTACGGACTCCGTCTGTTGAACAAGAATTGGATAGCCCTGTCGCAAAACCTTGCATCAGATCGCCGCGCCTGGGCAGCGATGATTCGAGATGTTCATGAAGCCGGCTCATCCTCCCGTAGGAGACAGCCGAAGTAAAGTAAGTTCAGTCCTGTAGCCTCATCATCTTACATTTGACAGAGGGAGCGAATCGCATGCCAAACATTCGTAGATTGCAGCTCAGGGTGTTCATAAGACTCGGCATTTTGTCAACGTCTTCACCTAGAACGACAATATCATCTGCATATTCTAAGTCAACAAGATTATTCCTTGTTGGTAACAAGTCAATCCCTGAGTCACTGAATTCAATTAGGTTTATAATTCCATTATGCGTAAATTTTGTTTTGATAAAGTCTCACAGTGTTATACAGTAATGTTTACTGATGACGTTTCGAGCACAATTTATTGCTCATACCATTAGTACATCCATGATGAAATTGAATAGAAATGGAGATAGTGGGCATCCCTGTCGGACACCACTAGTTGTCACCAGTTCAGATGACCCGCCGTAAGCCCTCACCTGGCTGCATGAGTACGAGTAGAGTGCCTTGATCAGTACAATGTATTTTCTCGACGTTCCCTATACAGCTAAGCATAGCCATAGTACCTATCGGTCGACAGAATCAAATGCCACCTTTAGGTCAAGAAATATAACGACTTTTGGACGCCGGTAATTATGCCCATGTTCCAGAATCTATCGAAGGGTGAAGATATGATCAATACACCCTCTTCCTGGTCTAAAGCCCTGACTGGTTCTCTCGTGTTTGTGCCTCCCGAGTACCACTTAGTCTGCGCAATATTATTGAGCCTAGGACTTTAGATACCATATTATTCAGGCTAATCCTCTTATGCTTTTCACAGGAAGACTTGTCTCCCTTCTTGTATATCAGGATAATCAATGACTTACACCGACTCGAGGGGACTTCCTCTGATTCCCAAACGCCGCCTAGTACCTTAGTTAACGCAGACAGTAAGTTGTATCCGCCATCCTTAAACACCTCTATGGTCATTCCATCAGATCCTGATGCTTTGCCTCGTTCCAGACTAGTGATAGCTTTAGTAACCTCAGTTAGGGATGGAGGACCTGTGTCTATATCCCAATCAGGGAGGTGCTGGATGTTCAGCAGGTTGAGTGTGGCTTTAGGCCAAATAAACTGCTCCTCAAAGTGTTCTTTCTAACGTACTAGTCGTCTATCCTGAGAGCTAATTATGGTGCCATTTTCCTCAGAGATTGTTTCACTTATCATTTATCTTTTACAAGCTGTTCTTGTGATAAGTCTAAATGGTTGTATGGTATCACCAATCGCCGATACCCTTACCATCTCTTGCTTTTGTCGCCCACCACTGTTCACAGTCGTTTCGGAAGCTTCTCGTTATTTTGCGTTTGATTAGCTTTCGCTTCTCATCATAATCGGGGCTCGCCGGAATCAGTCTTCTTGAGTCAATCAGTTCGGATGAGGTGGTAGAAATACAATGGCTCTTACTAACTTTTAGTTGCAGGAAATAAACAGCTTCTACAACAAACTGTATGTCAATCAACCAATCACACCTAAAACGGAGACGATAGTTGTTGTCAAATGTCACAGGAGTATTTGGTTATCGATGCCGTGATTTCGTCAGCAACCACAGTCAATTCATTAGGGTGTTTGCAACACGCTAGACAATTGGTTTGGATTGGATATTGACCGCATCTGGACAGCATTAGTGGTTGGTGGACATTCTACTTTTGAACCATTAACGTAAATCAGTCTTTTAGTGAAACTTCCAAAAGAAGTGAGATGGTCAACAGGTTCGACTACTTTACTTCTAATACTTACACTAAGTCAGTGCTTACCACAACCCATCCTTCAGCATCCATATTACATTTGACTAGCTTTGAATCGAAATTTACCAAATGCCCCAAAGTGGCTTTATAGTTTTCAGCAGCCTCCTCACCTTAGTCATAACCCAGTGAACGCGACGACTGTTTTACCAAAAGATAACATGTTAGTCAATCCATAGTCGACTAGTCAGTATGTAAGAAATAAAGACAAAAAAGACTTTCCGTCACATTTTAAATTTATTTTCTCTTGTAAACAAGACGCACACTCACATGCACAAACAAACACACATATGTAATGTGCTGTTTACAAGAAGAAAAGGAAGGAATAAAAACAAGAAAAGAAGAGGGGAAGATTTAAAATGATAAAACCAAATAACAAAAACTGAAATGAAACAATGGTGTACAACAATCATAGTGATAGATATTGGATCCATTTTAAAACTGCCACATGAATCACAGGCAAAACACATTGAATAGACAATTTTCTAAAAATAATAATTAATATTACCGCATGAAACGGAGGGGCGACGGGGATCCTCGTCAAATCATAATCATCATCACTGACAATTAGTTAATCACACACAGGAAATCAGTCTACCTTGCCATGCGTAGCAACATATATGACAACGGTTAGACAGAGATGGAACACTCGGTTACAGATCTCTACACACGCCAAATTTTAATTCAAGAGTGTCTGAGTGCTTTGAGGTGAGTGCGCAAGACACCAAACGCACAGTGGTGACAGTTACTACTATTTATTACTAAACCAACATCGTTGCAAATAGATTTCTCACTTGTGCGCTGTGGGAAGAAGAGCTTAAACGATGTGAAATAAAAATCAAAGAAGTAAGACTCAGTGGCTTCTTTAAAAGCCATAGTTACTTGGAAGCACAATATTCAATCAAACATCGAATCAAACCAAGATAAAAACGAGCGGATAAAAACCCAGACAATCGCTGTTTCGTTTTTTTTAGTTGTCATTGTTTTGCAAAAAAAAGGTAAGGTCATTCGACAGGCAAACTTATGTGGATGGAGGAAAGAAAGAAAGAAAGAAAGGCGAGAAAAACATTTAGACATTCAACACAATTTTTATCTTCACACTGAATATATGGGGTTAAAAGTATATGGATTGATGATTTAGGCGGCTGACTGGAGAGTCGCGAGAAATCGTATAGAGCAAACACAGAAAATGTATGTCTAAATGTGAAAAAACGATGATTCATTCTGTCTATCCGATCCCTCTTGTCTGTACGTCAATCCGCTAATGAAGTCCATCTGTTAAAAAAGAAGTATGATAACAATGATACCAATGAATCTTATTGTTAACAGACAAACTTGTTATATTTAAGTACACCAATAGATGCAAGAGATAAATTCTGGTGTAATTGCGTTCTCTGAACTGGATGATTCAGCTGCGAAGCTTTCATTGTCTTACTAGACAACGTCTTCAGAGCATACTTTAAATTGAAGTGAGCTTTTAGAATTCCCCACCAGTTTGTTAATAATCTCCCCTAGTAACCTTGAATGTGATTCCATGTTTTCATGTATTTCCTCATCCTCTCATCCACTTATACTGGTATTGATTGTTTCAATGACCTGAAGTTTGAACTCATGTTCTTGTGATTTCCTTCTTATGGATTGCTAATTCTTGTCTATGTCAATGTGTCTACTAGTTGCCGATTTACTTGAATACCAGGGTTCTAGAAATCCCCTGACAACTATTCGGTGTTTCCTCAGTCTAAGATGTGAACATTACACTAGACCCATTCGGTGCCCAAGGTTGTCTGTACGCAGTAATATGAAGGAGTGGATATCATGTCTTTTGATGGCCGTTTAATGTGCATTCACGAATGCGAAGATGACGAAGAGGGTGTCCACTATGACCAATGTGATGTTTTTCACAGTCATTACATTTCACCTTATAGACAATGTTCGCGGCTGAGACTTCTGGCTAACACAGCCAGCCGAGTGGCTTTGTTGTTTTGTATGCGACATCAATTCCAAAAGGTCTGAATAGTCTTGCAATGATTTATGAGACGTTCCCTATATATAGCAAGACAACTTTCTACTTGCTCTCATTGGGGTCTTTTATTTGGTTGGTTAGATTGAAGGGAGATGTCTATTGATGAAGTCTCTTGAATGTCTAAACAAGAGTGCTAATGAGAAAGACCCCACCGAATGGAGTGATTAAGACAACTTACCTGATGACAGAGGTTATGAACGCCTAGACAAATGGGAGCATTTCTAAAGAGAGTAAGACCAAAGTCTACTCATCTTTAACCGCAGCAGGTAATTCACGAGGTCGACCCAATCAGACAATATACTTTCATCTACAAAATACGCTGCAATAATCGTGAAGTCAATTGCAACATAGGTTACACTGCAGTAGATTATAGGAATATGAGAATTTAGCTAGGCGATGTAGAATGATCACTCCTCCAGGAACATAAACAGTGTGAAAGCAGTGAGCTTATATATATATATATATATATATATTCGATGATGGCTTGCAACTGGCGAAGTCGCCCGGAGTGTTCTAGTGAGAAGCAGTGAACAATGGTGCTTATCCATTTACCGAGTGTGGTGTGAAGCCAAATACTCGCTGATGATAATAACTACCGGTTGTGCTAAAATCACGAAATGACAGAAATTAAAGTTCACGGGTCATTGCATTCCGGCCTAAGTGACAGAGTGATCAACTAGCCCGGCCTTGTGACCTACCTGGAAGTGAGTTGGGTAGTCCGATCCCAAGTGGAGATATGAGTACCTACTACCGGCGAGGTAAAAATAAAGAGGAAGCAGGCGTCCAATACTCCTGGGTTTTCAAAAGTTCTCTAAATAACATCAATCAGTGATCAAACTTGAAGTACATATATGAAAATCTACATTAGTCCTAAATCTTCACAAAATTTGATATTTCTAAAGTGAGAAACATTTTGTTCGTTGACTATGATTAACCTCTATAACTATATTACTTTCTAATACTTTTACCCTGTCTCACCCATTCTATTGTGCGACTGCATAGAGTAAATGACGCATTACAATGGTTACAAAGAGACCCCTTAGACCATTTTATTCAGTCAATGGGATCCGATGCAATGGCCGATTCACGACATATGCGGCGCGACTACCTGTCAGCAGATGTCACATCGGACAGCAATGAAAACTGTGCCAACTCGACTTACCACTACCACCACCTTACGGTGTTAAGATAACCTCTGTATAAACACGCAACTCTTCAAAAACCGTGTGTGTATGACCAACCGCACAGTAGTTATCCCACTGACTCCGAGGTCGCGTAGCAACACACTACTGATGCTATCTGCATCTGTTTCAACCACTATACCACTCCAAGAACTGAATGGTAAACAGATAGCAACGAATGTTAACCAATTATTAAACCAAACTGTAACGAAGTAACAGCAATATACCTGGTCGAGTTGGATACTGGAACGTTGGATTATTGAAGAAACCTAAAGGATTCAACTGATGGTGAGGATGATGTCCCATCGGAGGAGGAGGTGGTGTCGGCTGATGGTGATGAGAAGCCCCACCAAATGCAGCAGCTTGAGGTGGAGGACCATAAAGTCCACCCTGTGGATTCATGGGTGGTCCTGAACGTGACGATGTACCGTTGAATTGCTGTAGTGAAACACGTTGATGATGAGATGGTGAAATGGATGGATAAAAGTTGGACGGTAGCTGGAATGATTGTTGTTGTCCTTGTCCTGCAGCAGCAGCTGACGGTGATTGTGGAAGCGGTGGATGAGTAAATAAACTGTGATGTTGTTGTAAACTACGTTGTCGATCAGCAGTCGCAGTATTTGGTCGACCGCCACCAATCACACCAACATAATTTGATTGATTCGCATAGTTAGAGACAGAATTCGACGTAATAGGAGTTGGGAAATGACACTGTGTATTGTTATAACCACCACCTTGATGAACAACAGGGTGAGGCAGCAGTCCACCAGCGTTATTTCCTGCAGTTGGAGCATACGGTTGTCCTGTACCCTGAATATTTGAAGCAGCAGCGGCAGCCGAAGGACTGCCTAACAGAGACCATGAATTCACTGTTGTAGGATAGCCAACAACACTAGGCCTGCCTGAATTCTGTGGATAATTCTGCAGTGGTTGTGAATGAGCATGAATAGCAGAGTACAAACCGGCAGTAGGAGGTGGAGGGGGTGGCGGCTGAGGAGGCAAACAACCAGCAGCGATAGATGGAGGATAGTTAAATTCACCCTAAAAGTGAAAAAATAAATATTAAGCATTATTTGTAAACTGTACTAATCTCAGTGAAGTATACGGCTTCAGAAATTCTGAACTCCCGTAGACCTCCACATCGACCACCTGACACGGCCAAAGGTGGGATGGGTAAACTTCGGTCCACGTCCCTCCCTCGAAACTTATTGACTATATCCAGTTTGAATTCCCGGGGCAATAATCTTGTAATGACACTACTTATTGATCAGATAGACGCTGCCACGACATTTCCTGACCAACGAAATCAAATGGCACCTTAAGAAGCAGTAATATGCTGGATATTACTCTCATTGATAAGGTATGTGTTTTAAAATCTGTGCATTAATGAAAGCAGACATTCTTTAAAACTGAGCTATACTATTTTATTTAATTCCTTGCGCTTGCGAGTGGAAAATAGGGAGTTAAACATTAAAGTTCCGATAGCTGTGGTGTTATGTATTCATATGGGGTGAGGTTACTAGACTTACGACCGATTACCTTCTGCCATCGGGCTTACTGTCGGTTAGGTGAAGTTAGGGGTACATCGACCGACAATCGAAACCCTGAATTTGGCGTAATACGTAATTATTCCGCTACTGTGAACCTCCGACCCACTGAACGCTTACAAAGCCCAATACAAATCTGCATAATGTCTGCGTTTACCGCTGACATAGACATGTACGATCAAAGGAAATGTGACGGCTAGGACACATGTTGTGCATATCGAGCAACTACCTTCTTTGATAAGCAACGTTGACATAGGATTAGGTTAGAAAAGATTAGACAGCATGGTCGAACAAACCCTGGAGTCAATTTGTGAAGACGTTGACACTTGGTTTGAGCCACACATGTAGGTAAGAGTGAAGACTACTAGGTTGCGGACCTCAGAATGCTAAGAAGCAATAGCTTGAACACGTTAGTGATAGAATCAAAATTCTTCTCTTTGTGATCTACCTCCCAGATTCACCAAACTCTCGTGTTTTTGTGTATATTATTACTCTTCCTTCCTCCTGTAAATTTGCACTGATAATAGTTCCTCTCTACTATTTGTGTTATGTGGAAAATGTGGCAACTTGAACTACGCCTTGGTTAGACTGCCAATAATGAGTGCAAAAAAAGACAAGGAGGGAGTGTGTTGTGTGGAGCAGTGTGGAATGTCAACCCGCCATAAAGTCAGAGCTCCACGTTTCTTCCACTCGGAGCGTAAAACATTTATCATTATGATAATAATCATTGCCTACCTTTAAATCTGTAGGATAACCAGAATATCCATTTGCAGCGGCGAATGTATTCGGATCCATATGTGGTGCTGGCTGAGGCTGCATCTGTCGACATTTTCTTGATTGACTTATTTGTGGTTGAAGTGATTGATGAAAAGAACGTGAATGTGCTGACTGCGGTGTCAGTGGCATGACTGGTGGTTGTATTGTTGTTGACTGTGGATGAACATATAATGGTGTTGCTGCAGCTCCTGCACCCGAGACATACGTCATCTGTTGTGACAATTTTTGCATCTCTGGCGAATTATTATTATTAGTGTTATTGTTATTATTTACATAATGACCATTTGAATAGATATTCAATCGATCAGATGTCAATGGTAAAACAGAATTTTGATAAGATTGTATCTGGTGTGCTTGCTGGTGCTGTTGCCGGGGTGAATTAGAGATACTACTGGGCTGTTTGTTTATACCATCAAGAGATGACATAGTGATACCACTGTTAGTGTTATGTGATGACAGGACATTTGACACCAACTGACTCGGATGACCACCACCGACATACGATGAAGAAGTACTACCACCTGTTAGACAACAACTAATATTCATCATATCTACAATATTTTGTTGATCCAGCATTGGTGGCCATAAATTTGGTGTCGTTGAAAACATTGTTGCGTCATGTCGATTCATCAAAGGGATAGTGGTGGATGATGACAGAGATGGATTATTCACTGAAGAAAATGCACTCTGTGAGGGTGATGCCCAAGGTTGGAACGATACATTGGATAATGAAGACGATGACGGCAGTACACCTTCAGGAGTAGCATGCGATCTTAACAATGTTGTATTCGTCGAATGCTGACCACCACCCCCAACATCACTACAACAATCATAATCTGATCTTTCTAATGGCTCGGAAGCCATCATCATCACCATGTCTGTGCCAGTAGCAGCTGAAATATTAGTAACATTTTCCACAAGGACAATATTATTTGGACTGAGTGGGTTAACAGACATCATAGAATTGGACACCAGGGACGATGAGACAGGCGCTGCTGTTTGTAACAGTTGTTGTTGAGGTTTTACTTTGCATATATTATTCGATATTTGAGATGATGACGAATAAGAGGCGGCAGCGGCTGTCGACGACGATGGACTGACTGCCGATGAAATAACGGTAGTAGTCGTAGTCGCGGTAGGAATAGAAGTATTGAGATCATTTTTACTTGAACGGTTGTTGTTCTTATTAACAAGAGAATCATCATTCGTTGACCATAAAGACTGCATATTATTGATCGTTGTCGCAATAGTCTTCGTTGTTGTATCTGATGTGCTGCTATTATTGTTTGTCTTCGGTAGCATACTATCACCATGAGTGTTTTGCTGTTCAGTATTATTACTACTCAACACTCCCACAATTTGTCTGACTTGATCGGTTTGCCAAACTGAATTCGATGATGATGACAAGGCTTTATGAGTTGATTCATCAATAGGATTTGCTGATAGTGCTGATGTTGACTGGGGCGATTTAGCAAACTTTGTTCCAACTACCTTTGACCATGTACGCGTGGTTGTTGTCGTTGCTGTGGTTGAAATCGATATTTTCTGCAAAACTGACGAAGTGGTTGTAGTTGAAATAGTACAGGCACTATTGCATGTTGTAATAGGCTGATTATAAGCTGTTGTTGTTATAGAATTACCAACGTTCTCAGATACCTCTAAGCATGACATTGGTGGACCCATAAATGTTATTTTACTTGGTAGATATTTTTTCTTCACTGAAGATAATCCATTCGGCAGACTCTTGGAATCAGTAGTCGTTGTCATCATCGTGTCTACCTGATTTTGTGCACGACTAGATGCCAACGGTACCGTTCGTGTGACAGCACTACTATGCGTTTTTGTATTATATAACGACGTACCAGATTTTTTCGGTCTGCCTTCGCTATTACTAGAGGTGACTTTAACTAACCCTTCCCCTTCTTCTTTTCGTTGTTGTTGCTGCAACTTTCGACGGGCAAAATATTTACTCGACTTTGAAACCACCTTAGTAAATCCATCGCCACTCACAAATGAAGTATCTTCCACATCGTCATTATCATAATCAGCATCAACAGGTTGATGAAATTGTTTGCTGAGCTGCTCATTTTCTTCTTCAATCGATGATTGTGTAGGCTTCTTCTCGAGACCAACATCTCTTGTAGTAGTCCCGCCATTTGTATCACTTCTACGATCATCAGAAGAACGCTTACCATTAATAGCAGTCCATGTATCTAAATCGTAGGTATTTTCTGATAAGGAAACATTTGGTTTAACAGACATTAACGGTGGTATTGTTGAATACCTGTGATCGTTATAGTAGTAGTCATAGTTGTAGCCGTAGTAGTAATAGTCATAGCTATCATAATTTCGTCTATGATGATTAGCATGATTGTTGTAGGCAGTATTAGTACTGGTGGTTCTTGAAATCCGTGGATAACTACGATGTGCAGTAGTGTAAGTATGCTGATGATTACTCGACCCAGTGGTCCGTGAGAAGCGCGAAGATTTCTCAGTCTTTTTTGAAGATGATGGAGATGTTGACACACCACTATTACCAGTGCCTTCAGTTTGGTTAGCAGGTCCAGCCCCTGTACCTAAAACACGTGATAAATAATAGATAGTTACAGACTGATTGAATCACAGTAACAAAGTTACACCGTTATTATTGATTCTTTCTTCTACAACCAGCAAGATAAAGAATTACTACAAAAAACACCCCCCGATATAATAAATATATCAGGTTTTGCTTTCAAATGAATTGATTGGTCAAAGGGGTTTGATCCCCAGCTGGTGCCAGTCAGTGTTCCACAAGAGATGTCACCACCAGTGAGGTCCACCAAGTCAGGTAGAGGACAGTTACCTGCAAAAGTTGGAATTCATACGTCGGCCATTGGACCAAGTTCTAGTGGCTGATGGTTGCCAACGTGCTCACCTTGTAACCAGGTGACCTCAATGATAGTTCGAATCCCCCTATAGGGCACACTATCGAAGGGTTTCCACCAAGCTAGGAGGACGACACAGCTGTTCAGCACTCCTTGATGTCAGTCCGTAATCAAACCTATGATAAATCTCACTCAACTGAACGAACAACTGTCAGGCAGGCATTGAGAGTTTTATTTATCGAAAGCCCCACCGGTACATACACATGCATTCAAAACGAAATATAACGTAAGTTAGTATTTAACAATATCTGACGGCATGCAAAATTAACTCTCCTCCTATTGTTTTACATGCAATAATAAGTTTGACGTTCAGAATAAACAAAGGGTTAAAAACACTAGGCTACTACTACTACTACCACTACAGATGATGAGGAAGGCTGAAACCATCCAAGACATGCACACCTACCCCCACCTCCTGTATCATCGTCATCATGATCACGATGAGCATGTGTTGTTGCTCCCTCAGCAACATGACAACTTGATACCTGATGATTTTTGGAGACAACAGAGGATGATGTAGTATTATCTGAAGCTTTTAGATCACTTTTTATACGATAGGAAGTGGAAGCCTGAGGAAATTCTTTCTGATTGTTTGTAGCAGCGCCAGAAGTAACAGCAGTTGACGACATAGTTGCTGGATTGTTGTTAGTATGACCATTTTCTGAACAATATGACCCTTCAGATGCTGTCTCCCATTCATCAACATCATTTGTATCGCTTATATTGCCCGTTGTCGCCACTGGAAAAGATTAATACACCAGACACTTAGTGAACAATAACAGTGAGTTAGATCACGATCCAGAAACCAGAGTACTTAATCGATCTTAAGGCGGAACTTAACAACCAGTTGTATTTCCTTAGGCATGGTTAGCAGGTATAAGCCACGTGCTACTGTATGCTTATGTGAAAGAGAGGGCTAAGTGATACACTGATGTCTAGCTGCCCAAACCATTCTCAGTGCGTAGGGGGAGTGGGTTCGAAGCTGTGACCCGCTGGTTGTTTGTTGGAAGTCAAACACGCCGGATCAATGAATAACCTCAACTCCAACAATCTTAAAATGATGAAACACGTAGGGAAAATACATTATTCTTGTGATGAAGGACTGTCAAGACATGATAAGCATGAAAGATATAAGTCAGACTAGGAAGATGACTCCCTGGAAAGGATAAGTAATGGATAACATACTTCCATTTTTAATAAGCCGCAAGAATTAATGAATTAACGTCTGAATTTTTTCACATATACAAAATGTAAGGGTCACAGAGAAAAACAATTCAGCTAACTGAATAACTTCAGAACTACATGTGATAAGTCGAATTTTATTTGCACTTGTAGGCTTTTAATTTATTGAAGTCTTCATTAAATATCTGGATTTGATCAGAATGTCAGCTATAAGTTAAAGGAGTTACCACAGGGGCGTTGAATACACACACACGGTCGTCAATAGAGAATGATGACAGTGAAGCGATTTCTACAAAACGATCAGTAATCTAAAAATCAGACTTTTGAAAGTCGCATACTTGCTCTTCTTTCACAAAATGATTCTTAGCACAAGCAAAATAACCCCCTAAAATGCAATATCCTAAGGTGAACTGTGTGTGTGCATGACTGGTTTTATCAAACAGAGTGACTAAATTCCATCATAAAACTTAGCACAGAAGTGCAACAGCACTTCAACCTGACATACTCCATGTAACACACAAAGGTAGATGAGGGGAAAACAATTCCAAAAGAACTACAATAAGCATCAAAAATTAGGGTTTAAAAAGGAATAACATTAAAAGCATAACAGCTTAGTGAATATGAATGATCACAGAGGGTGAATACACTTCCAGCCATATCACCAACTGTATCCAATCAATGCAGCAATGAATCCCGAGGATCTCAACAAAACAGTCCACATTTCCCTAGCTAACTGGCTAAAACCAACAGTCGAAGACTTCATGGACTGATGCCATGTCTTAGTTTGATAACTACTAGCTTTTGAAACCTACCCTTATATCAGCCAACAGTAGCATGCGCCAGCTTACGCCATCTCTGGCGTAGACATGATATCCGGCTGGCTATCGACCAAAGGACTTGTGCACTGCTCAGCAGTCCACTCCGAACTCCTTTATGGCTGTGACACCTGGTCATTGAGAGTGCAAGACATGAAAAGCCCGGCTAGCTAACTTTGATCATAGGTGCCTGCGTTCTATCTCCCGTGTGAAGTGGTAAAATAGGGTGAGCAATATTGAGGTTAGGCGTCGAGTGCTAGGTGAGGAGGGGAAACCGATCGACGAGGCTGTGAATCTACATTCACTGAGATGGTTAGGGCATGTGTTACGCATGTCTATCCATCGCCTTCCTCGACGGGCAATGTTAGCTGGCATAAGGTCAGGTTGGAAAAGAACCCGCGGTGGTCAAATCAAAACATGGCACCAGTCAATGAAATCCGCAACAGTTAGTTTAAGAAGCGTAGGAAGGTGTAGACTTCCTGGTTGGGGTCCTCGGGATGAGAAGAACCAATGGTGGCTGGAGACGATCGGTGATAGGAGTGGCTCAAAATCCTCGTTCTCAGTAGCGCATATGCATCCAGTCTTTGTGATTTTTCATATCCAATAAAACCTTACTGATCTTCGATATTACTTCCTTTTCCTCCACAGTTCTGTGCATCTTCTTTGGTCACCTCAACCAACACACCTTCACGAACAGATGCATTCACTTTAAATCAACACTGTGACCACTGCTAACGACTTACATTGGCAAAGCTTAAAACATTTCCATGACTATTCTGATAACAAACAAGTCTTATTAAGCCAATGTGTAATACATGAATTCATGTCTCAAATGTGGTAATCACTAATTCCTACATCCAGCTGTCTTACAAACTTCGCAATAACTGGTAACACTCGTCAGTTACGAAAGTGTAGTTCAAACGATATCAAAACTGGATATTACGCAACAAGTACAGTTTTTTAAGCGGATATGCCGTAGGAAAAGTGCTTAAACGTGTAGTTTTGAGTAGCGAAACTACGCTTACTTATGAAGTCATGAGTTTGCATCGATCAAGGTTAGTGTATTGGGCGTAGTAATGTACAACAGGTTAGAGGGGGCAAAGTTAAGCAGAGAACTGGATTGGCAAAAAGGCCAAAGGAGATTGAATACTAACATGAAAAAGCGGAGAATTTGCTGGAAGTGAAGGAATATATCCGCACCTATGACAACGATTGTAAGCTATATCGTCAACAGTTCTCATCCAATGGTTCTTAGCGTCTCCAGGAATCCAACCAACCTGAGACGGCCTGTTAAAAACAACTGTCTTGGACTGATGCTAGGTTTTTGATTTGATCAAACCAGTCAGCCCTTTTTCAAACAAACCCCCTGCCAAATTCGCAACTAACGCAGTTTGCGGTAAGATTTCGCTATATATTCCTATGCAAACCAAAATTCTCCAGATCACGTCATAAATGGTAATCACGAAATCAATCATATATGCATAATCACCATATACTACCGATTGACTGAGATGGAGGAGTAGTTGTATACCACTCACATATCAACCAGTAGTGCTTGCTGGTCAGCCAAATCGAAGTGGTCTAAACACTATCAGATGACTGTTTCGCTCGTTTGTAGTCAAGCTCATTAAGTAGAGGCGTACTTAGTTTGAATCACCTAGGTTAATCCTGTTAGTCAATGGCTTGTCGTGCATGATATATGTCGTAACCAAGTTGATCGATGTAACTTCAAAATTACATCGATTGACCCCTCTCCCCCACCCATTCTTAATACTACTCACCATATTATAGCACGCAACATACAGGAGATAGAATGCAACAGTCCTCCAGTCACTCAACATAACCCGAGGACTCTCCTACTAGGTAGATAAATAGCCAGTCTGCACCGCCCTCACATACTATATTTTTCGTGATATGGTAAGAACAAGTCAACTGTTTCACTTTAAAAGTATTTATTTAAGCGTCACATAATGATTATTCGCTATAAGTGGAATAAATATATAAGTAAATATACAAAGTAAGACTAGCAATGCAGAACAATACATATAATATAAACATATATATATACTATTTACCTGTTATCTGCCGTCGACGTTGCGTAGAACGTGAAGCCACATTATTTTCATCTCCTGGTTGCTGTTGCTGTTCTTCGTTGGTCCCCGTGTTCACCATAACAACATTATTATTATCGGGAAGATTTTCTCCATCGACAAAATCAACAGTCGTGGAATCCCTGTGACCACCACCACCGCCACTCTGATTCCCACCACGAGTATCACTGTTGTTCCCTGTACCACTACCACCACCGCCTTTATACATCACCGAGGTGGAATTGCCACCACTGCCTGAAGCAGCTGACCTCCCGGCACCACCACCACCAGCAGCCGCTCCACCGCCATCATCGTCTTTTTCATCATCATTGTATCGGTCACGCATTTCCCGATAACGACGAGAACTATGAACGACCGCAGAGCCATCCAGACGTTTAGATTGCTGTTGTTGATGTTGGCTAGCTCGATTAGTCGTAATACGTTTTGATAGAGCTAATACTTTCTGTGTACCGAGACGATTAGTATTATTACTACGTGGATGTGTATAATGGTTCATATAACCACTGGAGTCTGAAGCGGGTACACGAACAGTAGGCACATCCGAATCATCTACATTGTCTCCGGTATTCGTTGTCTAAACAAACAGAAAAAAGGAGAATTATTACAATTTTAGTTCAGACACAACAACCTACCACGTAATGTGTGCGCAAACGAATAAGATAATCATGAAAATAGGAGACGGGGGTAATAATGTTCAACAGCAACCAAGTGAAAATGGTTATCATCAAGCACATTATTCGCCAACTGCATAACAATTACGGTGGAAGACTAGATTAAATAATGAAACTCGACCTGATACACCCTAGTGTAAACAGACATCGGTCTTCTTCTCGAAATTCTCCCATGTGGCTACGTATTCATAGCTTCTGCCAGTTAAGGTCTAATTCACTGTTTTCACAAAAGTGAAAACGTGATTGAGATCAACTTTCGGCGCTTACAACATGAATGGTGGACCCACCGGTTTACCTACCCCAGGGAGATGGAAAACCCCGATACCTACCACTACCTATGTGTATCTATGGGCTGCAGAAACCAGATGGTTCAAATGGCGTATGAACATATTTTGGTTCACGGCAACGATGGGGACGCAGCAACTCCTAACGCTCCTTAAATTCACTGCTTTGTGGATCAAACTTCAAGTCAAAGAGTCAGGGCTGGGGTGGCTCCTTAAGACAATCATCTGCTTCAATTTGCGATTTTTGGCAGTAATTATTCCGACCCTCACACAATGGGGCAACAGTTTATATAGCATATCTCTTTTTGTGCATAATGTAGCAAGTTTGCGACTTTATATAACCAACTTTTTCACGTCAATGATTTTGTCTGTGAGTCATATTTGATATTTCAGCCATCATGACCCGGCGGCAGACACTAGTCTAACCCAAAACACCTACCTTTCACCTTACGGTGGTAATTCGTGGACTAACTACTTCTCAACTGTCTTTCGATTAGTCACTTTCCAAAGTTAATGTGAGAACACAGCTACCCTCTACACACCATCTGCTTTCAGTGGATAAGGATTTACATAGAGAGTTATACAGTGACATTATAAAGATAAATTATCACATAAAAGTTTCGACTTTAGCTTCAATCAATAAGTAATATATGCTACAAAAATCATTTGTCTAAGTATCATTTTAGTAACTTGCAGACTTTGAATTTGTGGACTAACAAAACGCTAATAGTTTTAGAGTAGATCAGATCACTGAAAACCAGAAAGCGCACTGGTCAGCTGTTTCGTCTTAGTTTGCAACTATTCAGCACCGTACGAACCTCATCGACTGTTCAAGTTCGTTGGATTTGAATTCAGTAATGCGTGAATTTTGATTTTATCAATTTGTGATGTAATGCTATCCAAGCGACTGAATACCTAACAAGCTTGGTCTAATAACCTGAACGTCCCAGGATTGGATCCCTGGTGGGGGTCATGGGTGAGAACCGCTGTAGAGTACCAAATGAGGGAGAAAGAGATCTCTAATGCTTCTTGGTTGTTTCAATGAACTCGAAATGATGTTGGTTTGTGACGAAATCTTTACTGAATTAATCTGAATACCTACGAAAACTCAATCTAAATATTAATAATAGCAATGATAATTACTACATTTTAGAAAATATCAAGTCCAAACGTTTTACAACGGTAAGAACTCGCAATACAAGCGATATTTCGAATGCCTAGTGTAAACACTAACAGATAAAAACACAGCGTGCAACCGTATTCAGTAATGATACGACAAAAGAGTGAACTTGGCATAGGAACAGGTCTAGAAGAGTTAAGTAGAGATGGTCAATGCAAAATTTGACATCAGTTCATGAAGTCGTTGACAGTTAGTTTAAGCCACATAAGGAAGTGTTGACTACGTGTTTACTTGGGGTCTTGTGAATGCTTGGAATCGATAGCTGGAGACTATTAGTGAGATGACTTGAAATCGTTGCGTAGATGCATTTACTCTTTGGGTAACATCTCGCGAATTCATGAAGTCCCCCTCCCCATGTTTTTTTTCCACCGTACATTTCCTGTTAACTACACTTCCCCTTTTTCTCTACCATTTGTGTGCTGTATGGAGTGTGTGACAGGTTGAACTCCTGCTGTGTGTCTGTGCATATTAGTTCTATGCTGAAATTCAGTCAGTCATACATTGGAGACTTAGCATTCCTGTATGTTATTCCAATTTGCAAGGATAGAGGATCGTAAATAATATACACAATATAAAAACAGTAGTAATCCCTTCAAAAGTGGCTACTGAGAGATAATCAACGTGGAACATGAATCTTACCTGTTCATGATCATTACTAGACGGATTGCTCGCATCTGATGACTTTGCCGCTGCTGATACATTCGCTGGATTTCTTCGATATGACTTATGAAAACGTCCACTGACAGCATGACTTCGTGCCCTGACGTCGGAATGGTTGCTTGTTCGACGAGTGGCATGTGACCTGTTCTCCAACTCCTGTTCTTGTTCTCCATCACTGAAAGAATAATATTCAACTGCAGCAGTACTAGAAAACTGTCCTCTATGGCCATAATATAATGCTTTTTGTGATCTCATTTGACGCCCACTACCATTTGATGAAGAGTAATATGAACTATCCATAAGATTTGTGGCGTTCTGCTCCCGCGTTGATGCTGATGATGATTCATATTGTACATAGGATCGTGTCATTCGACCACCGCCAGTGAAATAACCAGATACTGCAGCACTACGATGATTAGCTAATAAAAAACCGTCCAAATTCAAATTTGATAGAGGATATTTGAGAAAAAATGTCATACAAAGTCTTTTGGGTGTATTGAATTTAACCATCCATCTAAAGATTGGTAACATTGAGAGAACCAATGAAAACCGGTATTAGTGTACTGGACAGCTGTTTCGTTCCACTTCTTTGGGACTGACTTCCCAGGGATCGGACTACGCCAGTCCTTTTTGTTACAAGACGAGCCAGTTGACAAACATTCAATCATCCAAATGGTAACCTGCCAGTGAATGCTAACTTCTGTCAAACCGTGATTTATAGCGTCACTACCGCCAGCAATGCATCGGCGAGCATTTGTCTCCACACCTAATGACTGACTTGGTGGACCTAACAGGTTACGAGTTTTCACTAGAACTCCTCAAAGCAACTTCATTCTCCTGTAGTCAGTTGTTAAATAATGAGCATCAGATTAATTTCTGTGTCAGTTTGTAGACATATGAGTGGTTTCCGTGATCAAATTCCCACAAACAATCACTTGAGAATGCATATTTGTATATCATCTTTCAGAAAATTATGCTCGAAGCGTACAGCGAAACATAGCAGCCCCTACAGACGTTGCACACAACACACCTCAAACGTGTTGACGAAAATTCACTTGTATCGGGGAACACACCGGGTGAATACACTTAAGTGTAAGGATTTGAATGAGAGAGAATGGGTGAATTTCTCAGCAGTACGAACAAGATTGTTTTCATGTTCAGTTTTACCATTTAAAGGCTCTAGATTAAAGACCAGAAAACCACAAACGCTAACAATTAAGAACGTATATTGACTATTCTTACATAAATATGGGTGAAGCTGTAGCTCATTGATTTAGGTGCGCTCAATTTCTAATCAGTAGTTCATAGGGTTCGAATCCCACATCTAATGGTGAGGTTCGGACAGCCAGGTGGTGATATAGCGTCACTAGTCGTGAAACAAAGAGTACGTGTATTTTACATTCCAAACAATGAAATTTGAAAGGGATTGTTTTCGTTCATAGTATTCTTTTCATAGACTAATGAGATACGCAGACTTTAACATAATGTGAAAATAATACTTAACACACTGGTAAGTCCACTAGTGACTTGACTTGGATGACGGAAACCATTTTTTCGATAAGCGATAAAGAAATTCCCAAGCTTGAAGGGAGTAGAACAGTGAGTGCATTCACCAGACTAGAGAGGCACACACACACATGATAGGTAATAGATAAGAGCTGCCTGAATGACAATTATCCAACGGATGATAGGCAATTAATGACTCAAAATTCTGAGAAAATATTTATTCAAAATAGTAATTACGCAGTAATCATCAACCATCTGGGAGGGAAAATGTGTGTAATACAGCATAGTGAAGGGATGCATGTTGAAGAGACTTGCCGCTTTCTCCCGCCCACTAAATATTAAACTGTCCTGATACAAAAAACAATGCACATTCTGCTTTTTGAATGCGTGAGGCAAAAACACTCAGTCACCTCGTCATTTAAGTTTTACTTTCCAGAAAAGTTTACTACATTACGAATTTAACATAAATGGAGTGTATTCTCTCCCCCACTTTCTCCCTCTCTACATAGAGGATTTTCTGATCGGATAAAATTTGAAACGTGAAATTTAAAGTAAAATGAAGTCTTCTGATGATAAAATAATGCATAGAAAATCTATGGTACTGACTAGCGATACAATCTTGCCAAGTTCGACCAACTGTTTTGAGCAGACTTAAATATTTCAGGCACAGAAACGACGTATTTAAAATTTAAATACCACATCAAACAAAGTTATCACTAAATGGTTGCACACAATCGACACGATACCCTACCTGAACCTAGTTTTCGTGCTTGTTGGCTTCCACCGGTAAACAAGATATATCTGCAATCTTGAAGGAATTCAAGTATCTTCAGAGATTTGAACCGGGGTCACCTAGCACTACCAGCAATCAGAGATATAACCACTTGGTTATTTGGGCTCTCGATTGACCTTTTATAGGACTGTAACGGCACTTTGACTGGATAATACGTAGCAACTACTGTTAGACACCTACCTATATTTCGTGCAGACTAATTTCTGCCAGTCAAGTTTGCAATGTGGCCACCATGCTAGGTCAACACAGGGCTTCCTGCCGATTGCCTTCAACTATCTAAAATAAATTCAGTGTGCACCACGATGGTGTGTCCCTCAGCACGGTGGCTACATTACAAATTTGACTGATAGCACTCAGTCTGCACCAACCAACGGACTAGACGCATGAAATTAGTCACTGCCAGGTGTCTAGTCTAAGTCGTCAATCGACAGCTAGCCAACACTTCTAACTTCGAATTTATGACTGAGTTTTTTTCTTGATATATCTAGAACAGGAAAAGCATTAGTGCTATATGACCAGAGTCCGGTGGACAGTTTCTTGAGGTTAGTAGTCACAGATGCCCTAATTGAACTACTTTTTGGAGTTGCTTATGTTGGAAGATCTTACTGCCGGCTGCGAACCACTGCAAGGCGAGTCAGGATGTACAATTTTCAGGCTTCATCTCTTCTGACAAGAACAGAGAGACAGCATACCTGGTATGTTAGTTGTCCAAGAGAAGCACTCCATTCGCCAGATGTACGGCTGTCTTGACAAAGTGTGAGCGACAGTAACTGCTAATAGTTTAACTGCTATCAAAATGAACTTCCCGGTATGGAAGATTCGTTCCAGTCAGCGTATGTTATATGCAAGTCCGATCACCAGCACCACTTTAAGGTAGCAGCTATCAGTTGGATATTTATACTCACATAACATAATTACAGATGGGAGAATCACTGTATACCACGCACGCCCTTACACATACATGCAAACAAGAAAATGCAAAACATAACTCCAGTTTCAGTCAAAACACAGCATAACGTACCACGCTCAGACGACTTATAAACCATATCGTCATTACTGCGATGTTTCCGCTGATCAACACTCCCTCCAGTAGACTGACTTGTTCGAAGTCCTTTCGAACCTGAGGCATATTGTTGGCGCCAATAGTAATCATGTTCAGAACCTTTAGAATAACGCTTAGATGCATAGGAAGAGAAGTCATCTGTAGTATAACTTCTACAAATATATGTGAACAAATGCAGAAAGAAAGAACTTTAGAAAACAAAATAGCATTTAAATAGGTTTCTTCACAACCTAGATTGTAATTGAAATTACGAAAGATTATCAGCTAAGAAACTGTTGAAAGTCAGAATTAAAAACACAAACATAAGTACTCCTGAAAATGATCTCGCAGGACTGTTTCAACATAGAACTACTTTGCAGAGAAGTACAGCAGAAGTTCAACTTACACTCCTTATAGCACACAAAGGTAGAGAAAATAGACATTTAAAACATCTGTAGTAAGTAGAGGTGTGCGATCATATTTCACAATCATAAAGCCAACACTTCTGCTGTGCACAACACACTACTTTTGGTCGATAGCCGGATACAACACGTCAACGACAGAGATGACGCAAGTTGCTGGCAAATCCCACAAGAGCCTTTTGCACCCGACTTGAAAATTCGTCAGCAATCACTCCACCATGAACCATGCAACCTTCCACATACTCCAAAATTACCAGGCGTTAAGATAGATTAGGTTCATTATTGCAAGTTCAATAGAAGAACAAACTTCTTTTGCATACACAGTAAAGGATTTAACATGTGGATTGCCATAGCTTCTAAAAGCCTCTGAAAAATTGGATCGATCCCAGATGCCATGCAAAATAGCAAACCAAATTCAGAATCATCAACGGAAAGAGTACGAATCAAAATTCTTCAAATCACACAGAAGTGACAGCAGTCCATGTGTTAAGTCATGAACTCTACACACACCTGATTTATCTTAACACTCAATTTTCGTTGATCCTAATTTCCCAACTTCACTGATTTCCTTCCTTACGCACTACTACATTTCTGCTCCTTATGCGACAGTAATAGAAAACTACGACCCTTTTGGAATTTTAGTTGACCTCCACTCCATACATGACTCAATTTATTCGTCTAATTTTATTTTAGTTTCCACGTGCTATTACTGCTTTCTGGTATTAGGTAATTGCTATGTACTAAACCTTACAATTCTAATGGCACACTTGTCCAAACATTCTTTTTGTTGCTATGACAATGTACTATGTGACTGGAAAATGATATCGCTGGAAAGACTAGCTCTTCGCTCAACGCCACTTTTATGTAATTTAGTAGGGATATATATATATATATATATATATATATATATATATAATCCCCATTACAAATTCAAACACAAGGAGCATGTAAACTGTTTGAAGTTTGATCATGGTTGGATGTCACTTAGAGAGTAGCGGACAACTATTTCGTCCTACTATTTTAGAACTGACTTTTCACCAGAAATATAGATCCCTGACCCAACCACGGTGGGTCGAACTAATCACTAGGGCCTTCAGATTACGACACAACCTTAATCCCACGGTCGACCTACAGATCCTACTGTTAATTCACGATGTTTGTTTTAGTGACAAACAGAACTTTTGAAGTGAAACACGTGGTAGGTCACTCTACCAACAACTTACCTTGAGCTAGTAAAATGACTACTCGTCGTTCCAACACGTCCACGTCGACCACGTCTACTACTATAGGTGTTGTAGCTTCTGCTCTTATCTTTGCTACTATCTGCATTTTGACTACTACTAGGATGTGAAGAATGCTTGCTTGAACGAACATCGACTTTCTTCTTCCCGGCATTAGAACCAGCACCTTCCTCTTTGTCATCTTCAGTTGCCTCGCCTTCTTGGACATCACTTAGAACACCACATTCATCACTTTCATCATTTTCATCACTTGTAGTGGAGACAAACGGTGAGTTATTTACGTCCACATCCACATTCACTGCGCCAGTATGCATCCAACAATTATCTTTAAGTGGAGTATTCCGTTGTTTCCGACTCTCCGCCTTGTGATGATCATCACCACTAATGAACCGAGCATTAGATCGACTGCTTGTCGCATAAGTATCTAAAGCTGTATCATCAACACTGCGAGATTTTGAATTCCATGGTTTTATTGATTTCAATGGACCACCTTGTGAACGATAAGAACCACCATAGTCGTCTTCTTCCAAAGGATATTTTGGATTACTTGTATCACGAAGGTTCATAGATTCTAAGACAAATAAAATATGTCAAGAATACGAACATTTTAGGTTATATATGTAATATATGCACTTAATACTAATATCCTAAAGAAAACGAATCATTACATAAGCAAACCATTTTTAAACTCCAATAATTTTTATTACTATTCCCTTAAATTTCGAGGGGTATACATATTCAAACCGACACATCGCCACTTCACTCTGTCCCCCGCAGTCTACTTTTACTGACTCCATCACTGCTGATAAGCCTTTATTTCTTTTTAAGATTGAGATCGTCCATGTCATCCCTGAACCAGAGTCCAGGTCGTGCTACCTACTCCACTCAAGGCCGTGGCCGGAGAATATCACTGAATGGTCTCCTCAGTGAATATCCAATTTATCTTCACTCATTTCTGTATATTTGTTGGACAATGGAGCTTTTGGTTGGTTGGTCGCCTGCCACAATTCCCTCTTATTCACCTTTTGAAGTTAGCCATTTGATCTTCAATATAGAACCATTGAAAACAGCTGTTGATGAAACTCTGTAGCCTACTGGGAATGCTTTTTATGACACCCACGGCAGTTCTGTGAATCATACAGAGGCTTTCACAGTCGATATTAATGTTGGAAACACGAATCTTTTTCTCTACGCCGAGTGTAGTAGATTTCCACAATGATTTCAGATTAGTGAAGTTCTGTCCTGCCTTTGCGATTCAGTATCTGACATCCTTACCTGTAACGCCCGTAGTTGAAACGATGCTGTCTATGTAAGCGGAAAAGGTAACTTCCTTCAAATTCCTCCTGCCGAAAGTGACTGATACTTTTTGTTTTTGGTCAGCTGGTTATCCTAACTTCTATCGTCTCTGTGTTCACCTGAATGAAATCCTGCCTTCGCTGCTTCCACTGCCAACTTGTCAGTCTCCACCTGTAGATCTTTGAGCTTGTTTGACACCAAGCACAAATCACCAGGGAAGGGGAAATCCTGCAGTGTTCTCACCAGTTCAACGTCCACCTGTCTCCTTGATCCGCTGCACGATCTGGTTCACCGCAATCCAGGATACTGTCGATGGTAGTAAATAATTTTTCGTTGTGTGCGGCCGTGAAAGAGCTTATGGAGAGTTCTCAACAAAACAGACAATAAATGGATGCCTGTCACAGACGCCTCGTGTCACCATTCGTATTCAACGATATCATAGGTGCATCGATATGAATACGATTTAGGTTGACTACGACATCTTAGGGATTACACTTGTCACCAAAGATCTAGTGTATGCCAGTGATAAAATTATCTTAGGCGTAGATGCTGGGGAATTCAGTTTTACCGATACCCTTGGAGGAACCATGAGAATGCTTTGCATGCCACTGACCCCCAATTAAATAAAAAATATTTGACAGAACTGGCTTGTACCAATCTGCGTTGACTAATCCATTTATTTCGGAAATACAAGTCCTAGTTAGTGACGAAATCTCAAAACTCACACAAAAGTTCCCTTTGGCAGTTACGGGACTGTATAGGTGTGACAACTAGCCACCAAACAAGGAAAATGTGGGCTGTGCAACAAATTACTGCGTCCACCTCTATAATGTTAAAGCATAGTCGTTGGTGGTGAAAAAGGCTACAAGGCGAGAGGTTTTTCTGACCACCGACGTTTAGTCCACTATGTTAGGTGGTTAAGTATAGTCATTCACAATGAGGCTAGGTATCGTGTTCAATAAACAGAGAATGTCAATCGGTTTGATTTTGAAGCTTCATTAACCCATATGGTTGGGACACACGTGGCACATGCAGATTCAGGTTAGTATAGGATTCAGTCGGAGTGACCCGACTAAAACATGAAATTACCGACTCTCGGTCTGAGCAGTTAATGACTATGTTCATGGTCTGGACAAAGTACTAAGGATGCTGAGAATCATTGGCTGGAACAAGTTGATGATAATGAAAACTCCTAGTGTTCAAAATAAAACTCACACAACAATTGTGTGAGTACTCTGATATGATTATGAGCAATAAATTGTGCTCGAAAAGTCATCAGTAAAAAAGTACTGTATAACACTGTGAGACTTTATCAAAATAAATTTTACACACAATGGAACTATACTCAACCACAGTCTACAAGTTCTACTCATATATTCTCTTCATCAGGTTCTTGAGTTATACATAACATTAGTAATTAAGGAATTATTGTTATTAACATGTTTTTAAACAATATCAAATCAACAATAGCGGTAGATTACAGTTCAAAACGATTTTTGATAATATGTATTGACAATATTAAACTGAATATCAGACAAATTAAGAGAAAAAAACACAGAATTGATGAGTTGAACGGTTCCATAGCAGATCACGGTATCAATAATGACTGGACTTTTGAACGCACAGCTTCGGTCGTTTAGAACCGACTGCTATTACCTCTGTTGTTCATAGTGCTTGGTATTTGCTGACCTTTGAAAATGTATTCGAAATTCGATAAGAACTCAATTTGTTGGTGGTCAACAATATCTATCAGTGTGGTTAAATAAAGGTGTAGTTGAAACTATCAACACATCTATATTAGAATACTTAGTCTATACAGGGCACTGAAGAGTTTTTTCTATCACCTATTGCATACCGAATAAATTGTCAGATGCCTCTGAACACTCACTGACTGACCACATTTCAACACAGAACCTTGCACAGGAGTGTATCAGTTCGAGTTGCCATACTTCATGTATCACAAAGATGGAAAAGTATAAATGAGATTCAAAATAATAATAATAATAATAACAATAATAATAATAGTAATAAGCGGAAATGTGAGGGAGAAAGAACACTAACATTGAAAACATGACCTCCTAACAAATTTATATATCAAGTAGTGAATGCATCTCCGTTTTTCGAGTTTTATCAACACTCTACAGCCATAAATTCTTAACACTCCGAGGTCCTTAACCAGGCAGTCTACAATTCCACACCGACTGTCAAAGATTTCATGGATTGATGCTAGATTTTGCTTTGACCACCCCGTTAAATTTTTTCCAGCCTAATCCCATGTCAGCAAACATTACTCGTCGAGAAAGGCGGTGGTTCTACATCCGATTATAGTGCTGTCCAATCACGATACGCCTCGCCTTACACGTCTTCCCAATGTCTTATCAGTGAAGCTCTCATGAACCAAATGTTAATACGCATGTAGAACCTTTTACAGGGAACTGCCTCCATGACTCATCCTAACAGTCATCAATGCATAATAATAATATTATCGAATACATGGATTTTAATACTGTATAAGCATACTCCAGACAATCAAAAAATCAATAAAAAAGAGTATTACTTACTAAATTCAAGAGTTGCTGAATCTAATAAGTGATTTTTACTAGAAGTTCCACGACTTCGAGTATTCCCTCCACGCTGGGGCTTATTATATGAAGTCATACTTTTACCACGTCCACCACCACGGTAGCCGCGACTTCCTGACTCCAGTAGATTATCCTCTTTATCCCATATATGAGCTAAATGTTGAGACGATGCACACGATACTTTGATATCCATTAAACCTGGCACACGCGAAGTTCCTTGATTCGGAGAATCGCTACTGCTAGCAGCAGCAGCTGTGGTAGCTACAACAGCCGGAGGAGCATCTGACCTACTACTGGATAACTGTGAGGTTTTATGAGCCCGATGAGTTTTATCACTCGCCCTACCATCAAATTCACCCATATTCTGTGATGATGCGGAGGCGGAATCATCAGGATGCTTATTAAGCACTTGAGTAGTAGTATTAATAGTATTAGTAGTATTAACAGTAGCAGTGGGCGACTGGTCTTGTTGTTGTTGCAGACTTGAAGTAGTCGACGACAGAGTGTTCATTTCGGAAGTAACCGGTGCTGATGGTGGTGGTCCCTGAGACCGATTTAATTGAGGCTGGTTCTTTAAAATCTCAAGAAAACGTTCAACAAAAAAGTCGGGATTGACAAACATATTTTGAGAGTGCTGCTGCTGCTGCTGAGAAGACGACTTATGCACTTGAGAACCGCCACCTGCAGCAGATATACCCAAAGCATTTTGTAACAATTGTGCCATATGTGGATGCTGAGAGAGTAATCGCATGACAGCTGCTGTTGACATCGAATTGGCACCTAGTGCCGCAAATGGAATTTGCTGCCATGCTCCACTAGCGGTATTCGAACTCACTGGTACTCCTTGTGGTGTATGAGGGATTCCCGTAGGAACACTCATAGACATTTCAACATTTCTTCCTGGGATACCACCGCTGCTACTGTTATCTGAACCGCCTGTTGTATATGCCATGGCTGCAGCTGTAGCGGCTGCAATTGCGGTAGTAATGTCAAGAGACCCTGATGTAGGGAAAGCTGGTGGAAGTAGATTGTGTGGAGGAACACTGAGCATAGGGTTAACTGACGATGAATGATCACTAGGCGGAAACATGTAGTTAGGACCAGGTTGACATGCCATTGTACTGAAAGGTGCAGGAACAGAGGCGATTGTTCTATTCTCTGACATGCTAGACAACAGGCCTAAAGCAGACTTTGGTAAATTAGTGTCACCACTATCAGCTGAACAACTTTCAGATAGTCGCTGGCGGGCTCTAGCTTGCTGAGCTCTCTCCACAGCATTTCTGAATTCTTGTGTTCTCGCCTGTCGTTGGGCTTGTTGCAGTTCACTATCCACATCAGCTGTAGATCTTACAGTATCTGAAAGGTTGGCTATTGGTGTTGCTGATGCTGCTAAACGATTTTGGAGTTGATGTGTGGAATAGAATGAATCTAACGGAAGAGAAAATCATAGGAAAGAATTTGATGAATGTATCGTCAATCATTGTCAAAAGTTATATATATTTTTGCCATTTCACATTCTGTTCAAATAATGATTCTGAAGATTTTAGTGTCGAGATGCACAATTTTCGGAGTCAGCCTTTCCCAAAACGTCGCAACTCCTCGGAGTGGAGTGGTTTAACTGGCTTAAAGTTCATCTGTGGGAAATACCGAACTTTTGTCACAATTATTTATTTGCCACCAGTGAGACTTTGCCCAGAGACCTCCAATTATGGCATAAACGATTTACACTATGACGGCAACTGCTTTCAATCTAACCGCGATTCAAACGATGTCTATGGGATGGTGTTAGTTCCAGCCAGTGTAGCCCACGAGTTTATTCTGATATGCAGAGCCTAATCACCATCAACCCTGCCTGCTTGTACTACGCTACGAGCCAGTTTGAGAGTTCGCCTACAACTGAACATTCTACTTCTTTAGTGTGAAATACTTCAATCTACTGTATTTGAAATTAGTGGTTGATTTCTATGACATAGGTGATGTCGAGTTCCATAATACTGTAGGTGAAAAAGACGGCTTTTTTCATTAACAGACACACAGCGATAATTCAAAACGACCATCTTGTATTCATCGCCAAACAACTCTTTCTTCATCAGCAGTTAAATCTTTTAGCTTCATATTTGTTGACAACATCAATTTACAAAAAGAGAACCTCTGAAAACTCACAGCGGTTTTTAAACAAAGCAGGCACTTAAGTGGCTGACCTTCAATTAACCACAAACTCAATTAGGGACAAATTATATCGGATAAAGGATAGATCCAGTGGATCTCACAACTCAGCTTATCTCATACTCCTGGGCAGTTAGTACAGAACGAAAGCAGCGGAATCTACGCTAGCAGAACATACACTACAATAAGAAATCTAGAAAACAGCTCGACTATGGCGCTACATACACTTAACCACACATACAGTAGGATGGGACAAGATGACAGTCCTAGAATTTGTTATAAGAGGGTGGATGGAGAGAATAATAATTCAAATGAGAATATGTGCAATGAGTTGACGATTCAACACAGCTGTCTACCTCGACATCTGGAAAATTCTACTGTAATTCCCACGATAAAGAGGTAAAGAGCTATAAAGCACATTGAAATTCACAATTTGCACGATTCGAAGTGATTATTTTGTCATAGTTTCCTTTGGAAATCGACATTATTCGTTTTCGACTGATTTGGCTCTCTGGGCTGAGTCAAACACGGTACACAGCTGATGGGCTCGGCACCAAATGAGCAAGACGGCCGTTTGATGTTTACACCAGTACGATTTGTTTATGAGGTGAACATCCAGTCACTAAGACACCATCCCATCCAATGGTTGGCCCATCAATTCTAGAATCTGTTAATTCGAGACATACACCGTCACTACCGCATACAATGTCACTGGCGAGTAACTGTCTTCACACTCGATGACTGATTTGGTATATGCCACTCATCGCAACTTCGCAAATAACCGCCAAGCACGACATCCAAGTAACGTGTGTTTTCCAATCAATACTCGCACGAAACATAACATATGAGCTAACAACAAGATACAGTTGTGTCGTATTCAGTTTAATAATAACGAAAAGAAACAAAACCTACCCATAACACCAGTAGATGAAGCACTGTTAATAAACTGTGCATTAGGCAGAGAACGATTGATTTCGCTAGGCATTCCACTATATGGAGCATTCATCATTGAGGGCACGTTACTGTAAAGAGGATTCTGCGTTGTTGGAGGTGGCCTTGTAAAACAACTCCCTGAAGAGTTAACGCCGTAGGAGATATCTGCAACCGACCAGGCAGTATTGGATGTCATCAAACTTGGGTTTTCCATGAACATCTTTTGAGGCGCAGACAATGCATGAGATGGGACGCTGCTACCTGAAAGACTGGTTAGTGGATTAACAAAGGGTTTTACAGCTCCATGTCCGGTTGGGTGTATGTTACTGCTTTTGATACTGGCAGAAGCCACAGGAGGAGAAACGGGAAACTGTGAAGGTTGTTCCGACGATGAGATATGTTGAAGTGATGTTGCAGTAGTTGACTTGTGATTGGCTTTCGTCGCATCATCACAGTCTTCACCATCGCTGAATACGATGCGTTCATCAAAATCCAGTTGATCTTGACTAATTGCTACCCAACCACTGGGTTCACCAACGATTTCACGGGCACCACTACCAACAACTGGCTTGATTGCATTTTCAGATTTTGTAGGAGTAGTCGTTGGAGTACTAGCAGGGGTGGTAACAACCTGAAAGGTCGAAAAAATACGAGCACTTTAAACCTTTTCGGAGTATAAAACTGGCTGAGTTGCCACACTCCACACAGCTCACATAGGTAGAGACAAGAAATCCAAAAGGTATACAGTGAACAGAAATGTGCGGGAGGAGCAAAAAAGGAGGATTTGGTGGGTCGGTAAGAGTACACAAAGACGGAATGCATCTGCGCTGCTGACATCGATTTTGAACAATATCATCAATAGTCGCCAACCACTGGTTCTTAGCATCCCAATTATCAATGACTCCAGAGAGTTATGCCAAATGCTGGCTTGATCGCCCTTAACTCCTTTCCAATCTAATTCGATGCCATATAACACTATTCGTCATGTACAACGTAACCTGCCTCACCCTCCCTTACCTAAGTTTTACACCAACCCTCAATACTGCTCGGAGTATGACGTACTCCATTATAATGAAGCATTTGGTTGCCACATTTGTAGATCTCCGAAGTTATGACAATTCTATTAAATGTCAGAGTCAATTAGGTACTCTGTTAAGTAGTCTTTATGATGAAATGGAAACTTGCATAATCATACTCACTGAAACTCCTTCGTACTTTCTTCACATAAATTTGCTCAAATCCATTGATGTCAGGGAGATAAGTAGGTCTACCGCTGAACCACAGAAGGGCTCACTGCGACTATAAGGAAATCTTGCTAGATGTAAGTAAACTGAAATTCACGCTAATACATTGAAATAAAGAGTAAAGTATGAGCTATGGAAAATACCACCTGTGACTCCTGTTTTTTCATTGCTTTGTGTTCTGAGTGGAACGTAGGGTTTCAAGCGTTTAAGCTTTGAAGTTTCAGTAGTGCTTGTGCTGTTTTTACGTGGTGGTGTTGCCAGTCTCACGCCCAATCTTACCTCTTATCCAGGCTAACAGCCGGTCAGGCAAGGTCAGGAAGTGCGTCGACCGAGAATCGAAACACGACCTCGTGCGTAGCTATCGAGAATTCCTATCCGTGAACCACCAGCGCCCTATGACTCTTATGCAAGCCTTCATTTTAAGATAAGAACAATCAATTAAATCCAAAGTGTATTGCACATATTACTGCTCTGAACATTTTGATACTGAAGTACTATGGGCAGTAACGACTTTACGTGTGAACAGAATCAACACTTACAACTTTGAAAACTGACTTACTGGAGTTGGTCTTTGGAAAAATGGTTTGTTGGCTGCCAAGCCTCCGCCACCACCAGAGCTAGGCTTATCATTTTGAAGCTTGGACATATGATTCGGCACTTTACTTTTCAATGATCCATCCTGGATTGCTTGAAGACCTTCAGTCGTCTTCAATGAACCATTTACGCCAACAGATGTATCTGCTACACACAGAAGAATACATGATTACTATTAGCTTCCATACCATGTGTCAAAAAAAATTGGTAACTGACTGATTCTTTAACACAGAACTTCGCACAGAAGTGCAGCAGTTTATTGTCACACTCTTCATGTAGCACACAAAAGTAAAGAAAATAGGGAAAGAACTCTATTAAGCAGAAACGTACGTAAGGGAGAATAGTAACATGGATACGGAAGACCGCGAAGTGTCAAATGCACCCAAGTCATCGTCAACGACTACGAGTTACATTTGCAACATTTTCCAACCATTAGTACTTAGCAACCCGAGAACTTCTACGATACACGCAATGTACAACTGCGTGTCTGGTTCAAACCGACTGTCAAAGACTTGATGGATTGGTTACTAGGCTGTGTTTTAACCGCTGACTCCTCTTTAACCTGACTCATTTTGGAGGAGGGCGATGGTGCATTAGGCGCAGTGTCCCAGGCAACTCGACCGATGCAACTGTACGACTTTATCGACCGTTTTACCCTGCTTACCTAACACTACGCTTAACCTCAGTTTCGCTTGCCATATTATACCACATATGACAAAAGAACGCAAACAGTGCAGTACACACTACGCTGATCAATATCGGTATATCAGGTCTACGCCAGAGACGACGTAATTTGTTGGCAAATACCACATGAACTTTTTATGAGTGCTCAGATTTCTTTAGCAATCACAGTCCGTACGGGTTGATACAATCAACTTCCCAAATAAGTAGGGGCATTTTGTTTAGCGATTGAATGTTGTGTAACTAAAGTTGTTTCACAGCTCTGCTAAAAGGTCAAGTGTTCAGTTGCTATGCAGATAACAGATAAGTTGGAATTACTAAAGAAAAACACCGATGTGGGGAAAACCAGACAGGATAATAGGTTTTCTTGGAGGACTAAGATTTTGAGACTTACTGCACCTCGATTTTGTTTAGTTGCTTAGGGTGAGTGGCTAGGTACATAGGGCTAGCTGCTGTCGTTTAACTTCGCCACAAATATCTCGACATGAAGGCATCAAATGTAGTTGCGTCAATAATAACCTACAACACTTCTTCACAAAGGAAGTTCCAAGAAATGCAGTACTTACCGTTCGTAGTTATTGTATTCGTCACTCCGGGATCTGAGACACCGTGACCAATTTTGGCATAAGCCGAGTCAAGAGAAAGACCAACTGTTTCACTGTATAATGCGCCATTCACGGTGGATAAGCTTGGTACAGTCGGACGGCTGTCAGACTCTGTAGATGATAGAGCCGCTGGTTGTTCAGAGTTAGATGTTGATGTGGATGGTGCTCCCCACCCACCCCCACCCGGGGGAACAAGAGAGACTCGACTGTCCAAACCACCTGTTTCAGCTTTGATACTAGGGACCCAAGCCGGTGGCGGCAGTCGACGAGTTCCTTGCAGCTTTCCGACAACTTGCATTCCATATTGTCGCACAGCTTAATAAAAGAAAAAGCCTTATATAAGTAGAATAATAACTTCTTGAGGTGGATTTAAAGAAAAATGTGACGATTTCTTGTCTGGTTAGTACAGCTGTAGACAAGCATGCAGAAAAGTCCACCAATGGACACATGGTCACCAAGCGTAATAAGGGAACCTCAGTTTGTAGTGACCCATTTTATTACTCATCATCGTGCTATACTTTCATTGTGTAATTGTACTTTGATTCGTTTATTACTCTAAATCTTGCATGTTAACAATTGATACATTTTGTACTCGCTCAAATTTTGAATTTTGATTCCGGCGAGAATACACATTCCTACACCTCAAGTGTCTTCTGATTTACGTTGTGTGTCGAGTAAGCACAACGTTAGGACACAATTATAAACGAGAAGAGGTATTAGGATATACGTATACGCTAGTTTAATCAAAATATAGCAGCACAACAAGTTTATGTCCTAGATTTATGTACACCTACATTACTAAACTCATACTAAGTAATAGGAACAACTATTTGAACTTATTATCCTTCGGTGATAAACGGTGTACACGGTCAGAAACGACCTAGATTCTCTGTATTCTGTGGCGTACAAATTTGATAAAGGTATGGGACGTAGGCTGGTGGCATTGGTCATTACTTTTTTATACTTAAAATAGCCTCGGTACAATATGGTCTGTCGTGTGCCGACCACTGCTTTTTCAGCCGATACCATTTGTAAAAAGCAGTGAACAACATGGGAGCCACTGGGACAAAGCTTTAGTTCAGTTACTATTATTACGATCGACGAGCAAATTCGTTAGCATTCTCAGCTGATATTCCCCCGCCAAATTCTAGATGAACGCATACCGTTTAGCTACATAAATATGGATTTTAAAACTTGAACAGATTAGACGTATTCAAGCAGCGGAGATTTTCTTCAGATGAACAGACGGGTTACGCAAGTGATTCTGGTAGGCAGCGAACCAACGAAGAACATATCGCCCAAAATATATGTAGACGGTAGTGTAGAAAGATTTCACATACTCCGAAGACCGCCGAATGATAGGATGCGCCAGCGTGACCCGAATGAGAACAGACTAGTTGTACATCGAAGGGTGATATGGAGGTCGCGTGATGAGGAAGAAATGAAAGCCCATGAGTAATCATGCAGCCAGCTGAAATAGACTGCTGAGTGTTGTGATATGGCAATGTGCTTCTGAGGCCCTACGGTTCGCCAGGAACACAAAGGAATATAGTATATATACATATATATATACTTATATATATAGTATAGTGATAAAAGCAACTTATTGCCACATTCCTCCAACTGTCTATCACTAAGCATAAGATGCAATTAGTTTGAGCATCAATGTACCACGCAAAATATGTTAATTATACAATGAAGTCAGAGCTATGAGCATTGACTCATGTCACATCACAACCTACTGGTTTCGCTAGCGCTAATTCTTATGATTGTTAGCAGTGAAACTATCCTCAAAATGTCACCAAATGATATTCAGAGTACGTATTCGACTTCGTCTCCATTGATTTTAATTGGTAGTGTGACTACTAAGTGAGCTTTTGACACCAAATATCAAACTAGCCCGTAGGTGCTGTATCATTACGTTTCATGAACATATTGCAGACAAGACATACTTAAATAAATGGTGCAATTTAATGCAGACGTAAAAATGTTCAGAATTTCGGTATCTGCGCCACATATAACGATCCCCAGCTGATGGCAACCGTTAACTATTATCTTGAAGACAAACAGACTCTTCAAATGCCAATGGTTTTCTGCATAAGTGCCAAACGTCACTTCGACTCTAGGGAACTATTGCTCAAGTGCCTACACATTATAAAACAAACCAGAGCGCGAGGGAACTATAATCATTATAGGAGGACAAGTGCGGTGATAAGAGCTGTTCTAATCGCCACACATTAGACCGTCCAATAATATAGAAAGAATTATAAACACGACACTAGCTCCTTTGATCATAAACTGCTGGAATCTAGTATATCGCTAGCCCTAGTCCAACATGTCATTAAGCCCACGCGCTATGACTCACAGCACTCCTCTAAGCAACTCAGATGTCAAACTCAGAGTCTCAAGTAGAAGCCGCATGGAACCAATTAACTTAAAAAACATCAATGTTAACTTGACAAGACACATAAGAGATTATTTATTCTCCTAAATGGAGTGTCGCGTACTGGAAAGACGCCATAGTAACCCCATCACAAAGAGAAGACAAACTCAATTACAGACCTATCAGTCTCACCAGCACTTTAATCAAGACACTGGAAAGAATCATCAAGAAAAGCATCATGGCATATCTGGAAAATACAGCTTATTATCTAGAGCACAGCATGGCTTCCGAAGAACCTCTCATGCCTGTCAAATCTCCTCACGCATGGTCCAGTTGCAAGAGGACCTCAACAAATTGTCAGAGTGGTCCATAGAATGGAGCTCCACCGATTGGACAACAGTAGCACGACTTAAAACTACAGACACTGTCGCGCGGTGGCTGCACGTAGTTTCAGGTCATTATGGGCAATTCGTAGAGCCTTCACTAGAATCACCAGAGATAGGTTCACCTCCTTATATACATCTCTGGTGAGGTCAAGACTGGAAACTGCATCCAGGCCGCCAGCCCTTGTCTAAAAGGGGACTCACTTATTCTAGAAAGGGTTCAACGGAAAGCAACACGTATGATTCATGGCATGACTAACTTATCATACGAGGAAAGACTAGACAGTTTAAATCTCTTCTCCTTGTCATACCGTAGGCAGAGAGGAGATTTAATCACAATGTTTAAAATTTTAAATAATGACTACGGACCTGACCTATTTTCTCTTTTCCTTCCCACCAGGTCGGAACACCTTAGAGGACATAGCAGGAGAGTTCAAAAGCCAAGAAGAAATCATATTGCTGTTGAGTACTGGTTCTCACACAGAGTCATAAACTCTTGGAACCGACTCCCAGAAGAAGTGGTGTCTGCAACCTCAGTTGATTCGTTCAAGAAGGGTTTGGACAACCACAGAAGTTTACTAGAAAAGGATTAACATAGGCTCCAAGCCTTCTATCCTCAAACAATAAATCTGAAACACCTGATAAGTCACAGGTGGCGGTGTTTAGGTATGCGTTTGAGTTAATTATATTATTATGTCAACTTTCATAGGCAGCTTTTATAATAGTCGTGAAGTCTACAGGTGTTTGTTTGTTAAACCAACCACTATCGATAAACATGGAAACGAGTTAAGGATACAAACTCCTTGAGATGTGTGACATTCACTTTGACTCCCCAAGTGCTTAAAAATCCTCACAAGAATCGGCAGTTAGACAGTCGCAGTGTCCTCAGACTTCTCACATTTGGTTGACACATACTGCACGGAAATGGTTGCAACTAGACTATCATTATAGTGTCATGGGACTACTGTATGAAGGAATCCTACGTAACAGATAGAACTTCCCTATCATTTATGCGGTGACCTCACATAATTGTTCCGTTCGAATTCAATGTAATGAATGCTAGTCTTAAACCCTCTTAATGGTAGAATAACATCAAAATATAAGTAGATGGATCTCTTCACCGTAAAAACATTATCCGATGAACAACGCTTAGTTACCAAGGCATGTAAAGCAGGACTTACTTGGTTTATGATGAGTTTCTGTAGTATTTCCTTTATAGACATGATTAATATTTGACTGGGCGAACTTCACCTTTGTCTTTTCAGACTTGACTTTTGAACTCATTCTGTAGTGCCAGCATTGGCTCCTGGAACCAGCTGGTTTTGTAACACACGTTTAAAGAAGGACCGCTGGAAGTTAAAAAGAAGGAAAACACTAGTAATTTGCTGGGAATGATATTTGGAACTGCGTCGTATACGAATAAACTAAGAAACCAACATGCTACATACATCAAAGCCGCCCTAACAACAATGGTGAACGAAAGCTTTATGTTTACAAACAAGAGGGTAATATTCAATGCTCAATTGACCTTTTTGCTGTTTCGACATGATGTAAATGTTAATGAGAACTCACTCGGTCATTTCTATCAGCTGTTTCAATTTTTATCACACATTAAAGGGTTATGCAGATGAACCGCAGATATAGAAAATGACCGCAAAAGTATTTATTCGCATGCTGACAGACGCAAAGCCAAAACCCTTCCACCCAACAAATTTCTCGAATAAATGTGGGTTTTTTCGCAAAACTTGGCTTCTTACAGAAAGATAATTAGACTCTTTCCCTCTTAGTAAACTTGGAAGAACCAAAACGTTCCGTTATTTTGTAAGCTAACTTTTTGAAATGTAGTGAAGTATTAACGCTTTTTCTCCTTTTAACGAATCACTTTCAAAGCTCCTCCACCTTCTTTAGTAACTGAAAATCCAATTTTGTCCCTTTCGATTTTAGTGTCAGTTATTTTATTATTTGTGGCACACATTTCTGTCACCGAAATCACCATAAAGTCTGATGACAATAGACTGGTACAAACTAAAGATCATCTACTGGAACCCCATAACATTAGCAAGAGCTAAGGATTTTCGGAATTTTCATATAACCAGTTCCATTGACTGGTTCGAACAAAGGAATGAAAACAATGCTTGCGTGAAAAAGAGCCATCTTATGTTACCAGACTGTAAACTCACGTTGCACGTACGTTTTGCTATTCATCACTCTCTATTTCCTTAACGCAGAAGCTCGCAAACAAATGACACTTAAACCTTCTGTGGTGAGAGCTGTCTACTAGCCAAGTGGTGGACAGTAATTGAGGTCAATGTTTATGTATCAAATATTAGTCATGTTGTGGTGAGAGATGGTTGCTGGCCAAATTGGTTGACAGTAATTGAGGTCAAAGGTCAAGGTGGACAGGCGGATACAGTTAATTACACAAGAGATGCAAGGTTAAGAAACAACCAATCAACAGACTGTATTTTCTACTAACATTGACCTACAATAATGTACATTGTTGTAATAAACGATCTGTTGCTGCCCTTGCTTCTGTTGTTACTTCTACCATCAGATCAGGATTATCATCTGAGAAATAAAATGCTTTTTTATGGATCATTTCTCAATGATTCAGCATTCGCAGAGTAGGCAAATATTGGTTAGACTGGCATTAGTGCACATCAACTTGTGTAAGACTAGTCAAAATTTGCAAATAACACCACCGCATGCCATTAATCTTTTGTTCAATTAATTTTAGGTATGGTTTCGACTCTGATATAAGCCTTGTGATTCTCTCTTGTTGACAGAACGATTTGTAAAACTAATTTTAATCGATGCGCTCAGTTTGGGACTTGGGATAAGTGGTACTAACAAATGCGTTCTGATCTCAGTTTAGCCTGGGTGTTGTTATCTACTACAAAATTTATGGCCTGGCCATGGATATTTCCAGGAAGCACCAACATCCCAAGCCTCAAGAAGGAAATGGCATATGCTAGTTTTCCTGAAGATAGTTTAGCACTTCGTTTTAAAGGCTTCTAATTGGCCAGATTGCTGAGCATTTGTGTCCCTAAAAAAAGTTTCCTCTGACGGTATCACTTTATCGACATTTCTTTCGTTTTCACTGGTTTAAAGACTAGTACATCTGTAGCCAAGTGCCCGAAACTCAAGGAAACAAAATACTTTGCGTATTCTTGTACTACATCTCCATGAAACCAGAGTGCGTGCAGAGTAAAAGATTTTTCGCCCCAAGTGATATGGATAACACGCATAGTCTTGGAGCCTCTAACGCACCTGCTGCTAACCGGAGGACCCAATGGGTCTTTTCTCTGAAATTACTCCATACTTCATTCAGCCTGAATGTGTTGCCCCTGTAAGCACATTCACAACCCAGCCTTTTTATTTTCTCTTATTGTCATTCCTTACAAATTTAATCTTGTAATCCTAACATTGTGCTTTTAATTATCATCTCACAAAGAAAATTTATTCAGTGTTGCAACGTCGAAGTAACAAGACTAGACTGTTGGCATTCAGTTGCTTGCAATAACACTGCCAGAAATTACTACTGATGCTGGAAAACTAATCTCCAGAATTCAAAATACCATTTGCTCATATAATAATAAACTCAGCTAAGTAAGCTACACGGCAGCTTAGACATGTGGTTCTCAGCTGATTACTACAAATACACTAAAATATCTGTAAATAAATATAAATATAACATACAACAATGCTTTTGGCCATATCATTCTGGTATTCCGTCAATCAGCAAGGGCTAAATCTCTCAGGCATTGTGCGTCAAACGAATTTGAGAGTGATTCTTGCGAACAAGGTTACTGAACGTTCACTCAGTGTTCACCAACACTCACATTTCCATGCAAAATAGTATCCATCACTTATTGTAAGAACGATCACTATACTTTAGCACGGGGAGGACTCGAATCACCAAGGAAAAAGCTAAAACGTAGAACATACAAACTGACAAACATACCACAATCATAAACACATCACATCTGTACTTTTTCTCACTCTTCGATATCGACAATAACCAGGGCACAACATAATACCATCATGTATCACTAGATGAATCCTCCAACTCCGAGGCTTTCTTGACACCTTGAGGCACTAACTTCATTCATTACAACTACTCCCGAAGAAGTAAGCATAGCTTTCGTGGAGATATAGCTTGGCATTCTCTACACAACTAACTCGTGTTTCTGGCACCATCAGTCACTGTTGCCACTTCCCACTCATTATATCAAGGTGTGAAAATTTGTGACGCTTGCAAATAGACCCCAGCCATACGGTAACTTATCTTTAACCTCATGAATACTGGGTGATTTTCCATCTGCATCTTCCCGCCATGGGCTCAAGCCCGTAATTCACTTAGCTACCCCGGAGTATCGACTCTCACTAAATGATTTAAACTTTATTACCCTCACTAGTAGTACGGAGAACTCCGAAAGATTTTGGAAGCAAACAAGAAGAAAATTCAGCAGAATTCGTAAAATGCGAAATAAATCCTGGTAGCATATCCGCTCTTAACATCGCCGCAGCTGGTTGAGGGAAAATAAGATCCCTTCGGCTATTCAAGGATGTGTTTATTAACGGCAATATGCAGAGAGAACACAGATATGTTATCGCACCACTGAGTTGAGCCAGTGCCTGGATTCTTGAAAACCCAACTGACCAATCCTCGCTGACAGACAAACTGATTCCCTACATTACACCACACCTGAAATTAATAGAGTTTATTCGGCTGAATGAAGGATTTTGTCGTTCCTGAAAGGGTCTTGAGAAACTTCTGACATTCTTTCTGCATCCAGAAACTGATCTAGTGGATGCTTTTCTCCTCAGATAAATAGCATTACTTATAATGTGACAGAACAAACAATTGGCTCAGCGTTTGATACAGTGGGTAGTCAGGCAGATGAACCCAAATATTCGAAAGGTCTTTGCAATGAAACGTGATTAGCTGAAGATAAATGCACCTTCAATCAATTATAAATAAACATATAAATAAATTTATTCTCATAGTAAAGTACATGAGGGACGCCAGTTTACAGGCATCATCAAATTGTTACACGAATAGAACCATATAATTCAATCACAATTTACAGGCAGTAGCAAGATATGCTTTACGTGTTCTCTGGAGATCATACATACACTTGATAAATGTTAACCCCAGTAGTATAAAACAGCCTTTTCACTTATATACAACCATTTGTGTGCAAAGTTGGAAAAATCCGCTAGATTGTCAGTGCGTGCAAAACAACAGGAAATACAGAAGTATTGTCTTCGCATTAACAGAAAAACCAGGTCTTTGGTGGATGGATTATAAGTGCCTGGGAAAAAAATAAAGCTTGAAGTCAATATTCATACATAACTTTGTTGTGTGCAGAATCCTTGAATTATAGTTCATTGATGTGTTATTTTGAAATCAGTGATGTGTTTATCTCATTTCATCTTCAATGTCATTGTTGGGAGTAACTACATAAGCTTCGGACGCATTGATTAATGGATTTCTACTGCTTGTGGGTATTTTCTTAGCGTTAGGAAGGTTTATGAATTTCAGCTGTTCCGACAGGAGTTGAGAATATTAACTGCTTAGCAACATTATGGATATAAGTTCATCACATTATCTAAGGAAAGGTGGGTTGCAGTTGGTGAGGGATATATGGTGCCCAACGAGCGTACATCTATCCATGTGATGTTGTGGTGAGTTATGCCTTTTTCATGTTGTTGGTTTATGTCCATTTTATTCCACTTATTGTGTTGGGTAGTAGTTTTACAAACGAGATTTCTTGTCTGTTTGAGGATACGTATCTTAACCGTTAATGTTTTATCTAGAATTATAAATATAGGCAAAAAACAACAGGTGTAGTATTTAAGCTTATACATTAAATGGGCCTATAATTTCGGAGGCTCTCAGATAGGAACTAGAACTACTATCGTTTGCAAACTCTTGTAGTTTGTCATTAAGCACCTTTTCGAAGGAGGCCAATGTACCTGCTTGACGCATTTCCATTGGTAGTTTATTCCGTATCTGTGCGTACCTAATCAAGTAAAACTTTTGCCTGTTGGCTGTTTTACATTGTTCGATAACTCCTGTACCCTTAGTGTGTCTTAGTTTGTAGCCATTGTCATCTGAAAGTCGAGTGCCATTAGTAGAGGTAAAAACTAAGTGGTTTAGAAGCTTATAGTACAGTGTTAAGTTTAGTCTCAGGCGTCTTGGCCATAGTGTTTCTAGTCCTAGGGTATAACATCTAGTGGAGTAGTTCGCGCCATTTTCGGTTCCGAGTAATTTTGACGTGAAGTACCTCTGATATAATATTTACACTCCCTTGTATTACTATTTAGACAGCATGTGAGCACGAGTGTTTCCAGAAAGAATTTGATTCCTAAGTCAAATTCGAAAGGAGAAAAGAAGCTTAAATATCTGACGTAGTCTGTGCTGCACAGAATCATTATTTGTGCGGTAAAAGGAACAATAATGGTTTTTTTGGGCAGCTGTA